AACATTATCTCGTGCCAACTTAAAATATGTTCGTAAAATTTAAACTACACGCAACACTTTTCAAAATTTGTTTTCTATATTATTATACAACTTCATATAATGAACACTGAAATTGTGTTCAAGAGTCAAAGTTTTAAAAAAAATGTTTTTGAAAAACTGTGGAGTTATATAATTTTTATAAAATTAAATATTTTTTTCTAATTAAAACCAATGTTAGCAATAGTAGGTTAGAAAAAAAACTCATAAAGTTGCAGAAGTATAATAAACATAATAAAATATATAAAAAATACTACAGATAATAAAAAATGAAAAATGAAGTAAATAAATCAATATAACTTTTATAACAAAAATTTCAACTTAAAATTTAATTCAATATAAAATAAAAAATTATCAAATATCAAGCAAACAAAACAATAAAAACATAAATATTTTTTTAATTATTTTTTTCAATTTTAATATAGTTATCTTCTTTTTTATTTATCAAGACATATCACTCTCTCTCAAATTTTTTAAGATTAATTTTTAATTTAATTCTTCATCATAATCATCTTTAATTATCATTTTTGTTCTTTTTTCTAAAACATTTCTTTATCTTAAAATTTTTTGCAATTTTAATAATAATACTACTAAATAGATTCTTTTGTTTTTTAAAATGATGCCAGATACATATTTTAGACTTTTTTTAACTTCAAAACCTTTATAAACAATTACCAATTTAAAGTGTTATTATCGTAAAAAATAAATCATTTTGAACATTCTCGTCATAAGCATCATTTTTCATCTTTTCAATCAATTATTTTATATACTCATCAATATTATTAATTTTAATTAAATCAATTATATTTTTAAAATTATAATATCGTTTGAGTTATTAATTATATTTCACATAAATAAGTTAAATAATTAAAATACTCTAAACAATATTTACTTCAATTTATTTAGTGACATGATGTGGTAATTTCTAGAGGAAGATAACACGTAGTTTAAAAAACTAAATAATGATTTATTTTTTCTTATAAACACGTTCATCCCATTACAGTTTTGCCACTTAAAATACCGAAGCAATGTCCATCAAGTAGTCGTGGAGGAATATTATGAGAAGAATCATGATGGTCAACCAACACACTCAACCGTTTACTATTGTGCAAATATTTACTCAAAAGTGCTAGCATAACTTTAGTATTGGGTTACGTGTATGGATTACGAATGTCTGTTGGTGAGTGAAAGGATTAAGTTAATACAATGAAGGGTTTTTTTCTAAATGTAAATTTAATTTGTAAGGTTAGGGTAACTATTTGGAGAAAGAAAAAAAATTTAAGTTGCAAAGTTTTCTACCAAACTTTCGTAGTAAGAAATAGACTATGTTCTTTTAAGGAGAAATATAAGAGTTTAGTGGCATAAACATAGCTTTCAACTAAAAATCAAAAGACTGTAAAAACCTAAGTCTAAAACTTGTCCAAGAAATTACTTTTTCAACTCATTTCTATGAAGATTGCCAGAAAAGTTTTATTCTTTGATTGAAGGCTGTATTTTGAGATGTTTTGGAAGATTATAAAAGTCTCATTCTTTGTCAAACAGAAGACTACATTTTGAGGAGATTTGAAGAATCATAAAGAGAGCCTCATCAAGAAGGATATATTTCGAGTAGTTTTAAAGGATTATGAGAGACTCATTCTTTGAGGAGTAATCTTTCAAGGAGTTTTTAGGATTTTCAAGTTTTTGAATTGAAAATAGTCAAAACTGATCAAAAAATAGGAAGTAACAGAAAAATTATTCTAAGTTCACGAGACTAAACGAGCTCACATATTTCTCCTAAAATTGGTCAAAAAATAGGAATTAACGTAAAAATTATTCTAAATTCAAGAAATTAAATGAACTCTCAGATTTTTTTCAAAACTGGTCGAAAACATAGGATAACAAAGGAAATTATTCTAAGTCTACGAGAATATTTTGACAGGTTTTCTCAAAATTGTCAAAACATAAGAAATTTATCCTAAGGCCAAGACACGAGGGAGTCCAAGAGGGGAGGAAACACGACAAAAATTATAAGGTCTGAAGCCACTATCAAAGGAGCATTTATCAGCAGTTAAAACCAGTTAAAGGTCAGAGATCGTGAACACGAAGAAATGATCGTAGGCAACATGTAGTCATGGAGAAGGCACGATCATAAACGGTTATGGACGACAACAATTGAGAAGAAGCACGTATAGAAGACAGTTCTAAAGAAATGCTCGCAAAAGAAGAAGAACAGTTGAGATTCACCGCCTATAAATATTATAAAGCGTCATATTTCAAAGGACGACTTTTTGCATTATACGCCTGTACCCAAACACTTTGTACGCTGAAATTCTACATATAGCCAGACACTAACTACCAAGAGATTCACGGTCATTAGTGTTCGTTGTTGATAGGATTCAACATTATTTTCTTGTACATTTATACTTCTGTTCTTTATTTTCAATTCATTCTACACTTTGTTCTTGCAATTTTAATTATGGTTCAGTACGTTTGTGTAAACTTTTATGTTTAATTCAGTTCTACGTGATCATTATCTACTATTCTCATTTAACACTCTGTTTTACGACGTCAATTTGGTCATTTCATTTAACAACACACTTAAAAGAATTTAAGAAGAGTTAAAATTTAGTCTCAGATTGTTTTTGAATTTATTTACTGTAACCTAACTTATTTTCTCATCCCTATTTATTAATCCAAAATTTTATACATTATTTTTTACTATTATTAATTATTTATTTTTAGCCTTTAATGGTTAACATTTTTCTTTAATTATTCAAATAATGATAAGTAATTTTAACCGTATTTCTTTAACGAGAATAGTCACCCAACAATATGTCGTATAATTCTGGACTACATAATTCCTAGTATTCCAGTTACCGCGCATGATGTTCTAACCAGGTTGCTCCTTTACTAGCTTCTTCTCCAGAAAGATACATGGATCATGTTTGGTGGGATGTCCCTCCAATTAAATAGTTAGCTTCAATGTTCTGGTTCTTATTGAATGTTTATTTTGACCACACACAAAAAATTTATTTCATTTCAGTTAACTTTATTTTATTCCTTTTTATTAATCCATATTAATTATTTTCTTTTTCTTGAGTTATAATTTTTATATAATTAATATTTTTTATAACTATATTTTTATTTCTTTATTTCACACCCCAGATCTCGTACACTTCCTTTCCCTTATATATATATATATATATATATATATATATATATATATATATATATAAAGTTGTACAAATTACTTGTAAAAATACACGTTCTATTTATTATACATTGTCATGAGAGAATAGAATAAAATTTCCCATGAGAAAAAAAAATTTTCAAGGTGTGGGGATCTAATGCAAAGAAAGATTTTGAACTTCAAAAAAAACTAACAAGGCTTTTATATGTATCCTATTTCTTTCAAGAAGACAAATGAGAGGATCAAATTTACAACTTCTCAGATGCAAGTTTTTGTGTTACTCCACTAGACTAATCATTTCAATGGAATGAAAATTTTATTTTATTATCTAATGCAACTTTATTATTCATATATTATCCTTTTTCAAATATATAGAATAAAAGTAATTGTATAATTAAGTCAATAAAAGAATAAGAGATCTCGTGATTGTGAGGATGAAACTCAGAGGCAAGGGATAGAATAGAATAAATTTTATCCTATTCTATTTCTTTTATCGTGTTTTAATCAATCCAAATAATGATAAATAATATTATTTCATGTCATTAACTTTATTCCTCCCTTTCCATGAACCAATACAAAATCTCATAGAAGTTCACACGTAAATTTTTATTTTTTTTCAGAATTATTATTTTTCGTACAGTATTTTTTTTATGACATTACTTTTTCTCTTTATTTTTTGTGTTATATCAATGATCTTGTTTCATACTTCTTTTCTTATACAAACTAGTTATAAAAATATGATTTCTCTTCTTTTTCCTGACACAATTGATTTACTAAATAGTTCTATGATTTGAATTACTAAAATTATTTGTATGTTTCATTTATTTTATTTTCTTTCTGACGTACATGTAGCATGTATTCCAAAACTACATTCAAAATATATAAAGAACACTTTTTAAAGTGTCCTCGAATTGGTACATCAAACATTTCGGTTTGTTAAAGGTTCTATTGGAGGGGAGATTCTTTTCTCCTCATCGCTTGACTTTTGCCATTTTATATTTATCACAGCTGAACACAAGCATTTTCTTTTTTGTTTTTTAATCTTATTAGGTTCCAGTCTTTGAATGTGACACAGAGAAATGTGGCTGCATCTCTCCAACTCCAAAGCAATTTTTGGATTCCAAAACTTTTACACACTCAATCAAAGGAACCCAAATTGATACATTCTTTTCCCACTTAATTGCGGTTCACAGAAAAAAAAGAAAGAAAGAAAGGAAAAAACTCATATTTACCAAAGAATATGTAATGTACCTCACGGCAGCAGAGTGTTCCAAAATAGACAGAGACATCAATGGTTTCTCCACTCATTTCATAAGTAACCATCATTTGGTCAACCACCGCCCAAATTTAGCACATCCCCAACAAGTTCATTTCAGCCATAATATATTGGGTGACACACACAACCATCACTGCATCACATTATATATATTTATTTATTAATGTATATCTAGTGTCATACAATAAAAAAATTAATAATAATACATATTTATTAAAAAATGTATATCAATATATTAATTTTTTTAGTACTCAGCATGTAAATCAACTTGCAAGGGTTATTCTAACTTAATCTGTAATTTTGAATGCAGTATCGGTAGATAGATGTAGTTCTGTTAAATATTTAGAAAAATAATTTTACTGTCCATTACAATCTTACTCATTTTAATAAGGATTGGCTCCAATTGAAGATATCTATAGTCTAAACCAACAAAATATATTAAAATTTATATTTTTTAATAAATTTTATTATCCTTCCTTTAGATACACGTTAAAAAAACCATAAATATATATAAAGCTGACGAATATAACAAAGGCTCTCAGATGATAGTAGACACAGCTAGCTGTCGACAATGGCCCTGCGGATTCACTTCTTAATCCTTTCCATAGCTGTTTTGGCTCTAAGCACTTCCGCAGATTACAGTAAGATTTAATTTTTCAATGAATTTAACTAGCATTGATTAGATTCACACAAAGTTTTCTCATTTCAGCATCATAGAACTTCTGCAAGATCACACCAAGTACTGTTTTTCATAGAATCTGATGCTTTTGGAGGTCTAGTTTTGTTTTCTAAAATATGTGTAGATTAAATTTAACCATGTTATTGTTATTACTTGCTAAGTTGTTATATAAATGAAGGTGTTTTTTTTTTTTTTTTTGTCACTAGATCCGGGTAATTTTAGTTATACCGGTCCAAATGGTCCTGAGAAATGGGGAAGCTTGAGTCCATCTTTCTTAGCATGTTCAAATGGGAAAGCTCAGAGTCCTGTGGACCTTACAAAGACTGATATTGTCATGAACAAGCAGTTGAAGTCCTTAGATAGACACTACCTTCCTACAAATGCCACGCTGGTTAACAACAAGTTCAACATTGGGGTTTGTTCTTTAATTTCTATGTCACTCTTTCTTTCATCCCATATAAACATTATTTGAATTTGGAACCATCCATAAGCATTTAGCTAGATTTTCATGTGCAACTTTACAAGCAAATATGTCATTTGGATGATGATTTCTTTGCTTCAAACCTCAACCAACGACATTCTTTGCTATGTCACAGTTGTTATTATTATTATTATTTGTACTTAGTGTACTTGAATTGAAAAATCCTCACCTTCCGCAGAAAACTTGTGGCTTCCCAGATGATAATATGCTTATGTTTTCATTTGTAGGTGCGTTTTCAAGGAAAAGTAGGAGATATTAATATAAATGGAAAAAATTATTCCTTGAAACAATTACACTGGCACTCTCCTGCAGAGCACATGGCCAATGGTCGTATGTAAGTTCCCTCTTCCTCCTCCAGTTAGACATGCACCCAATAATTACATTGGAAACCTCTGTTACTTTAAATGGAAAATGCTTAAACAAATAAAAAAAAACTTTAATTTTAACAGACCTTATGATAGGGAAATCTACATGATATTAAAAAAATAAAAAGTATTGTTTTTAACATAAACTTTACAAACGTCATCTTCATTAGGTGAAGTTTTAATATAATGAAGTCAACAAATTATCCTGACCGGTCAGGAATCATGACTCTTGAGATAATTTGGGTTGGTTGTTCAAAATTCAAATTAACCAAACAGGGCACGCGAAAGTGCATAACCTAACAAAAGTAATCCAACTCAATTATTTTAATGATTTTCTTAATTAAGTGTTGGGGGATGACAGAGTTTGAACCCCTGTTTATCCAGTTAGATGTTCCACTGGTTACCACTTGCTTTCAATGTAGGAACAATTTTTCATTAAAGAATGCTCACAAGTGTCTTGTATTAGTTAAAAAGTTTAAAAAGGAAATTAAAAAAAAAAACGATTATCAAAACTATTTTATTGTGGTTTTTAATATAATATTTTTAATTTAAAAAATTATTATTTTGTAATCAACAACCTTAAGACGCTCCCTAACACATCTTTTTTTTTCATCATTTCACTCACAAGGCTTTTGATCTGAATTGTTTCTCTCTCTCTCTCTTTCGTTTTTTGGGTCTAAACAGACAAACCAGTCCTTTTAGTTTTTGGTCCAAGGCAAAGCAAATAAGCAATCTAAGTAACCCATTTAAGCATCAATTTGGGCCTACCGTTCTCTTCAATAAAGAAGATCGAATAAAAAGTCCAAACCTTGCAAGCATAAAACATAAATGTTAGGAAAATTCAAGTGATTTCAACAATGTTGTGAGCACTCTGACACACAAATTTCTTAATACAGTCATGTTGCCGAGCTCCATCTAGTCCACCTAACCCAAGATAATAATAACATAGCGGTGGTGGCAGCACTCTACAAATTGGGTGATCCAGATCCTATCATTTCCCAGGTATAGTACAAGTTATATTCACTTGTGTTCTAAATTCATGTGGTACAAAGGATAAAGTTGCAATTGGGAACTTCAAAGTATGATGTACAATACCATATAAGAGTGACAATAAATTCTCCCTAAAAGTACTAACACATGGTTTTTGGGTACAGTTTGAAGACAAGTTAATTGAGCTGGTCAAGGAGACCCGTGCAGGCAATGAGGATGCCCAAATTGCCCTTGGCACATTTGACATGGAAGAAATAAATAGAAACTCCCATAGGTATTATAGATATATTGGCTCTCTCACCACTCCACCGTGCAAAGAGGGTGTCACTTGGAACATCCTTGGCAAGGTAAGTCATATTATATGCTACCCATTATAGGTATAGGTAGGTTTGCTTGGGAAAATTTATGTTTTTATAACAAAATGTTTAATCTACTGTGCATGATGCAGGTGAGGACACTTTCCAAGAAACAATTAGAGCTCCTAAAGGCACCATTGGACCCAGAGTTCTGGCACAACGCAAGGCCTCTTCAGCAACTTAATGGTCGTAAAATTGAGATGTATTACCATCCCAACCACAAGCATCACGTACCAAATACCCATCAATAAATTGTTTGAGGATAATGTCTAGTGGTTTTAAAATAATATTTTATTTTTTTAACTCCATAAAATAACAAATAAATAAATAATTTAAACGTGTTACTAGGATGATAAAGAAAAGTATGAGAAGCACACTTCCAATGATGCTGAGTGAGCTTTTATTCAAAGATTGAGGTTAAAGCACTTTTTATTTTAGTCTTATCAGGGATACGTTCAATGATGTGTTTTAGGATTTCATTAATCATATTCACTGAATAGAATCATTATCGCTTTACTATTTCACGATTGAATGCAAATGTAAGTTAACTTAACCTAACTGTGTTAAGATAATGCCAATTCAACCAAACCTATTAACCTAGTAAATCAACTCGTATGAATAATAAACTACAGCAAATGTCTAACTTGTTCCTCTTCACTTCAAGTTATCAAATTATAAAACTGCACCCGAACATATTCGCAGCATGTTTGATTCTGCGTCAAATTTACTTAAACATGAATCTAGTTCAATGCTATAAATTATAATTTTTGCATTAAATTGTGATTTGACGTGATTTTATTAGATTTCCAAATATACATTAAATCGTTTGTAACTAAAGATTAGACTCGATTATATCTGACACTAATCCATCATGCTCAAAAAATATTTTATGGCCTTCAATTGACACAAGTTTGATCAAGCTAAAATATTTTGTGTGCCCCTACTTCTTTTTTTTTTACAACTACACTATTTAATTAGAGAATATTCTCAATGCACACAAAATTAAAAGAATATTTTTTTTATTCAAGAAAGACACATCTCTTATTAATTTAATTCCTTAAAAAATTATTAATTAATTTATTTTAGTTAATTTTAGAAAAAATAGCTTTAAAAAATTAATAAAGATGTTATTTCAAAATAAGTTAATTCAAATACACAATTTCTAAAATTTTAAATGATTAAATTTTTTAATCCTTCATCGTAATTTCATAACATCGTTTTAAGATAATATCACATGCAACCAATTAGGTCGATCATTTTATCAAAATGTATATCTAACAGTTGTATAAGTATTTAAAAATACACAAGTTCATACACACAATCAATTACGGGCATCAATTTAATCAATTGAGTTGGAAATGAAATATTATTTCGATTTAAATATATTTTTTAATTCTTTAAAATATTTATTTTATTTTTAGTTTTTTTATTTATAATTTTTTTAAACATTAACGTAGCTAACTCAGATATTATCAAAGATTAATTTTATATGACATATTTTTTATATATATAAAACATATATTATTAGAGAGAGTTTAAGAAAAAATTAAAATTCATATACACAGAAGAAAAAAAATAAATATTAAAATATAATATATTTTAAAGAATCCAAAACATATTTAAGTTTGTTTAATAAAATGAAGAATTTTTTAGAGTTTGATTAAAAAACATAAAATAGACAAAATAACTTAAATACAGATAAAAAAAATATTTAGAATTTTTGAAATTAAACTAATAAAATTTATCTCTAAAATATTAAAAATGAAAAAATTGTGTTGTATTCTCTTAATATTCTCGTAATAATTTACTAATTAGAATTTATAAAAATAAAAGGTAAAAGGGTTTATAATTGTTTTAGAAAAAAAAAGTTTTTAGACATCAATATGTGCTTCAGCCAAGTATCTTTGAAACTTGTGTTCCCATCAGTCAAAACCTTGGCAGTCATTATAGCAGTAGCTTAATTGATCAGCTAACCTGATTGGATTCAACTGGTTGAATCATGTGGGTGGAATAGAAAGGTAGACATGTTTCTCTTATTTTTCTTCATTTCTATGCTCTCTCTCCTTTTTTTTCCAGCTTCATCATCATTTCCAATTACATCAAAATTAAGACCCTAAATAAAAAAATCCAGCAACACTTTGGTGCCTGTTTTTTTTCTGCCTCAATGATAACCTTCCTCACTCAACCTTATAAAATATGTATTGAAAATGACTGCATGCATGTTTTCCAAGATGTGACCTCATTCACGCCAGGTAGACTTTACTTTTAAATATTTAATATAACTATATTTATTTTAAAATTTAAATTTGAAATTATTAGCTAAGATAAAATAATTCCGTAAAAATTGATCACACTGATTTAAATAATTTTTATTGAATCAAATTAACAATTTTATAAAATTTAATTAAGAGTATTAATAACACAGTCTTATCAAAGAAAGACTATAAAAAATACTACGTAAAATATGAAATCCTTAAAAGACGTAACTTTAATTAACATGTTCATATTCTTAAATAAACTAAATAAATAAAAAAGTAGTTTTGCCTTCTCGAATTAACTTAATTAATTATAAAATATATAAAAGTAAATTACATATACACTTTTCCAAGATTAGTAAATGTATAAAAAATTAAAATAGTTTATGTAATTGAGAAATGTATGTGATATTATATTATTATATAAGATAAAAAGAAAAAGAAAAATACTGAATAAAATGATGTTAAACTTTTGAAAAAGTAAATGTAATTTATTCAAATTATATATACGTGAGTTCGATTACTTGGATGAGTGATAAAGATGGTGTGATGAGTCAGAGATTGGGATTGGAATCTATAATATTTCTGATATCATCCTCTTTGACAGAATGCCACCCGCGTCAACGTGGTAAGCCGCCACCCCATGTCTTCAACATCAAAACCTTAAAATACATCATTACGTCAAAATTATAATTTTTTATTTTATGTTTATAATTTTTAAAAATATATTAAATATTTTTTATTTTTTTAAAAATAAATATATTTAATAATTATTTTATAAAAAAAAATTATTAAATTAACAAAATTAATTTGAATAACAAACAGTTGAGTATTTTTTAAATAAAATTTTAAATTTAAATATTTATGTATATAAATTTTTTTTAGTAATACACCCATCTAACATATTCAAGTGCACGATTTAAACTAACTCTAAATAAAAAAATATTAAAATAATTAATAAATATACTTTAAAGTTATTTAATTTAGAGTCAATAAAATGTGGCTCGTTTAAGTCAATTAAATTATAAATTTTTATTTTTGTATGTTTAAATTGATTTTAAGTTTTTTAGTCAATACGTATAAACTTTTTTTTTTCTCATTGATTCCAGATCGAGCTTTGAGTTTATATTTAAATGCCCAAATAAAAAACTGTTTTTTTTTTTATGCTCAATTTGATAAAGCCTAATACCTAATACGAGTTGAGTGACCTGTTTATTCAACTATTAAGTCTGTTATGTAAATTTTAATATTTGTCATATGAACTGTGATTTTATCACTTGACAATACCTTACATGATTTTAGTTGAGTTAAATACAATAGAGTATCAATTTATTCTACAAATTGATACTCAAAGAAAAAGTGTCATATATGTCATAAAAAATTCAATAACGTATCAATATCCATATTTAAATAATAAATATATCAATTCAAAAATATATAATAATAATCAAATTGAATATATAAGTTAAAAATATAATAATATTATAAAAAGATCAGCAATTTTAATAATTATTGTTATACGATAATTTCATAAACAAAATATTATAATTATATAATATAATTTAGAATAAAAATTGTATAATATATTTTATATTAACTTTATAAGTATATAATTTAATATTTTGAATTTAATTTTATTATACAACGTATAAATAATACATTAGTACAATATACAAATATTAAATAAATATGAATACTGTTTGAGTTTTAAAAAAAATAAAATGATTGATATTGGTAATAATTAGAGGTCCAACTTATATAGTGCAATTTTTCCAAGTCGCGTGGTTTACATAAATCAATCGAGCATGATGCAACTTTTGACGCATTTGATTTCTAACCCAAAAATTCATAAAAATTTAATTATTAATTATACAGTATGTGCATGAATGTGTACCAATGGAAACTTGGTGTAGAGAAAAAAAAACATATCAAATCATATTTACCACAAAAAATAATATATAATTAACTTGTACGTTTCTGAAACAAATTCAGGGATATCATATATAACAATATAAAGCCACGTATGATTAATAGACAAGAATGGTTTGGATTAGAGACCTTGCCTGTATACATAGTGATGTTTACTAGTATAGCTAAAGAATGGTCCTAGCTATACTAGTAATCACCCCAACATATTAGCCCAATAAAGCATGATTAGTTTAAATAATCCAAACACCGAGATTTCATTGATAAATTGAAAAGTAGCATACGAGTTGACCTTCAAAATAATCTGGAGTTTGATAGGACTTTGGATTATGCATTTTTCTTCATAAATTAATTAAGGTCGTCAACCATTATGAATTACCATGTCTTAAAAGTATTTATTAAAATGCATAAAATTTAAATATTTAATTAAAGTATGTTTTGCGGTTTAAAAAAGTCTTATTTCTCATTTTTGCGATTGAGTGAGTAATTTACTAAGAAAAAGTGAGACATCTTCGTGGATACTAAAAAAAGAATTAGAGAGTAAATTTTAATAAATTTATGATTGATTAGAATGCAAGTATAAGAGAGAAATTGTATTTATATAGTTTTTAGTATAAAATATTATGATAAAAAAAGATAGAAGTGCGAAATAAAATAAAGAAAAATAAAAAAATTAATATTGAAAAAAGTTATATATAAATAATATAACTTTATATATAATATTAACCGCTAATTTTTATTAATAAGAAAAAAAAGAAACTCGAGAATAAATTTTTACTATTACAATCTTTTTATTGAATAAATCATTATAACAATAAAATTCCTTGCAGCAAAATGCTTGATTTCATCAATAATTGATAAAAGCAGTGCTATTTGGTAGGTATGATTTCTTTTGTAAAAAAAAAAATGAAGAAATGACTTTCGAATCAATCACGAAGGAAATGAAAATACGAATGAAAAGGGAGAAAAAGAATTTATTTATTTTTCACTTACGAGTATTTAATGAAAAAAAATATATACCAATTAATATTTTAAAATTTCAACAACACCCTTTAATATATTAAACAATTTTTTTATGTATGTTTAAGAGCATATATTAAGAAATAATAAAAAAATGCATTTTATTAAATATTTCAAACTATCATAAAAATATGTATTTTTTAAAATTTTGAAATAACAAATATTTTAATATTTATAAAAAATTTAAATTTTAAACTTGTATGTGATATATATTAAATAATCTTTTTAATATATATATATATACATATATATTCAGAAACACATATTAAAAAATAATATTATATTAAATGATGCCATTTTTAATTAAAAAAAGCATATAAATCATTTCGATTTTTAAAAAATGTCAACTTATAGATAATTCCTTTCCTTATTGTAATACGATGCGATCCATTCTTTTCCTTTTTATATATCGTCCTTTTTCTTACTATACAGCATTTTTTTATGAAAAAAAGAAGCTTAAAATAAGTGCTAACAGAAAATTTACGGCTGCTGGTGCTCACATTCTGAAGGCACATGAATCATATTTACAAAACGTTGCCCTTGCCTTTGAAAGAGAAAAGGACAAAAACGAGAAGAGAAAAGTAAATTCAATAACAGTTGAGAAGAAAACTACATTTATTCAACTTGCCACGCAATCACTCTAACGACTATTCAAAATGTTTGCAGGTGGGACCCATCGGTGGCCGTCACCGAACAAATTCGTAAGCCCCGAAATGAATCCTATTGGGACACGTGGATTTCCGAGTTACCAACTACCCACGACTCGGACCGTCTCCCAGACGCGAACCGGTTCACCGAACCCAAACCAGGTGCCTCACTCGAAAATGATTCTTCAAACGACACGTCGTTTCGGCTCGCCGTAGAACCACCCCGCGCTTTTCTGCTGTTACTTCTTTTCTTCTTCGTCGACGAATCCCTAGGCGGAAGATCGGTTTTTTGAACCGGTTTTCCTTTTCGACCGGACCGGAAAATAGCGCGAACGCTCTCGAAAAAACTGGTTTTCTTTCTTTGACTTCGAGACGATTTTTGCCTTGTAACGGCGGCGGAGGAAACGACGGTGGAAGTGACGGAGGAGGAGATGGATTTCTGGCGAGTTCTTAACCGACGATTCCGGTCACGCTTCGATCTCACTCTCCCTATGCACGAAACCTTCGGCGACGAAGGTTCAATCACGGCGGTTTCCGATTTCCCTCCGACCGACCCACTCCGCTTCGGGAACAACCTAGCGTTTCCCGGACGGTGGTTGCGGCGGCACTTGGCGTCGGTGAAGGAGGTTTTTTGAGGCTTCGGCAAACCGATGATTGTGGCTTTTGTCTTCAAGTTCTTGGAGAATCGCTGAGAGTTTGAGTTTGAGTTAGGGTTCAAGGTCATGGAAATGGAGTTTCCCTTGGTCGATTCATTTCGCTCGTAAACGGCGTTCCGGTCCCACCAGTCGTATTCCGCGTCGCCGGAGAGCCAGAACGATGCCGGCGGCGAGTCGGGATTGGGCTCACGCCGGTCCGGTTCGTCGGTGTGGTTGTCGGCGAGCGTCTCGCAGGCGATTTTCCGGTCGGCGGAAACTCCAGCACAGGCTGAAACGAGCGTTTCCAAGTCCACCTGTGGCATGTCTTGGTAGAGAGAGAAAATATGGAGTAGAGAGAGAAAGTGTTTGGGGGTATTAATGTTGGAAGAAGGTTGTTAAGTGGCGGTGATTTTGGTGCTGTATTTATACGAAGGACTAGATGATTAAATACTGATTTGATTATGTATCATTTTTCTTCTAGAGAGAGAGAGAGAGGAAGAAAAAGCATCTTTATTGTCTCTTTTTGGCTCGTCCAAAAAATACGAAAGCAATGTCAATGCAAGGGCATAGTAATATACAAAAACATGACAACACTGATGAGCTCGCTATTTGTTTGCAATTTGCGTGTTTATAAAAATATAACTTTGTTCAAATTTCTTACTTCCTAGTTCTAACCTTTCTCTTTTCTATAAATAAAATTGTTCTGTCCTCTACTTGATATATATGAAATGGCTTCGCTCTTGGTATTGGACGCACAATTTCATTTTGTTACACATTAACATTACTGTGTAACATGGGAGAGCCAAAAATATATACAATGATAAGCTCCATATATATGCGATATACTTATATGACGATTGAAGCTTTAAAATGATGTCACTACCTTGCAACTGGCATGAATATCCTGTATATATCTTTGTGGGGAAGAGGGAATGTGATTTAAAAAGTGTGTAAGGTACTACAACTTGAAATATTAAAATCGATTCATGTTATAATGATTTTAACGTTAATTCTAAGACTTAGTGTTACATTTTATCTGTTAATCTTTCATTTTAAATTAAGTAATGTTCTAATATAACAAAAATACAGATAGTTTAATAAAATTATTATATTATTAAGAATATATATTACTTTTAAAATATTTATAAAAAATGTTTATTAATTTAAAATTGATAATTTTTTATTTCAATTAATTAAAAGAGAAAATAATATTAAAACAAATATACCAATTAAATTCTAAAAAGTATTTATAAGTTCGTGACATCATCGTCCTTTTATTGTTATAATAATAATAAACAAAACGTTTGCACCATTTTTTTCCTGAAAATACTAGAGTTCTGTATGCATGCATCCCACTACTATTTTAAAAAAATAACGCGCAATATGACCAGCTGAGGATTGACGAAGAGTCCAAGATCCCTTGGAATTTGGATAGTGGTGGTGTTGTGCATACGCCAGAGTTCTAGCTAGTTTTGTCAAATGTTTTCCCTTGTATATTATCATACCCGTTGGCTTGCGTGAGATCCTTATTTTGTATTTATGAAATGTTTATTCTTATTTTGGATAAATTTTGACTTAAGAATATTACCTTAAGACAATTCTGTTTACTTTCGGGAATTGGGGGTAAACAGAGAAATGATGTTTGACAATTGTGTGATTAATACAAGCCAGTTTATACCAAACAGTATTCAAAATGCTCAACTTTAAGTTAGAATGAAGTTTGACAATCGTGAAAGTTTCTTTTTAGTAAAATTGAATTGGATAACTCGACCATAGTTATTCATTTCAAGTTTGATTCACCAAAGTAAAATAACTGGATTTTGAAATCGAGAAACAGCTTTAGAAAAGTTTTGCAAGACCCACCCTTTTGCTTAGTGTCTGTGTGCGCGTGTTCTTTTCTTTCTTGCTTTTTTTGTGTCAAAAGAAAACTTGAAAATTAAATGGTAAAGTATTCAATGCTCATCTTCTTTATTTCAACTCGAACGAAGAAGGAAACCAATCAACCCATCCTCTTATTACAAAATTGTCGCTTTTGTGACGTTGCGTCTCACACAAAGCAAGAACAATACCTAAATTTGGTGGCAAGGCTTATTTTAGAAATTATATATATGCACATGCAAATCAATTCCACTTATGATATGAATAGAATTTTTCTAGGCTTAAGTTATCAATATCTCAAATATTCTAAAATCCCTGCGCGCGCGTCAAATGTGAATCTTCTGAACTCAAAACTGAGTCCAACAGAGGATGAAACCCAGATAGGGATCTAAAACAGTAACATATATATGTTTAATTACTTTACATATACACACATATGGGGTGTTTCTTCTATTTGTTAACGTACATCCACTTATATTTTAAAAGGAGTATTTTAACAAGTTGCATCTTAAATATATTTTAAAAAATTTAAAATATAACTTGTCAACAGATATATTTCTTTTAAAAATTAAGTAATTAGACAATTTTTTTTATAATAGATTGTGTATTCTAATTTATTAACAATATAATTTTTTTATATAAGAAAAATAACTCTTGATCTATAATTTATGTGAATTTTATTAGATAAATGTGCTATTCTTCTAAATTAAACAAGTAATCATACTTAATTTCCATGCATTACGTACGGAAAACATTTCTTTTGAAACTTCAGAGGCATCTAATTTTATTAAAACTTTGAACATTTCATATTATTATATCAACAGAATAACTCCTTATCCACTACGGGGACTTGCTACTTTAACAATAGGTTAATATACCTTTCTTCACTAATGAAGAAAAAGCTGGTTTGCCCGAGAGGTTAAGGGGGAAGACTTAAGATCTTCTGCAGTCAAACTGCGCATGGGTTCGAACCCCATAGCCAGCATAAATATTTTAATTTTTTTTCTGAAAAAATCAATACCCTTTTACCCTTAAATTTTAATGAAATAAGCTTATAATTCACCTTAATCTCACAGCATAACTTTTCGATTTTGTAAGTTTATTCGGGCTTGATTCACCACCTTGTTTTTTTATCTGTTGATAAATAATTTTAATATATATATATATATAATAATAATAATAATTGAATAAGTTTATTTTAAAAAATAAAGAAAAAACCCAGAAAAATAGTTACTTTTCCCAAAATAAAATTCTAAAAATTAAAAACTATGTCATGAAAACATTTTTCCAAAAATTTATCCAAACAAACCATAAATTAAACTTGTGTGGTTTATTTTCACTACATAATATAGTCTTCTACAAAAGAAAAATTAAAATTAATATATGTTACAAAAAAAAATATTTTTCTCTATTAAAAAAAATTGATTCTGCATGTAATATTAAAAAAAGTGTCAAAAAAAATATTTTATGAATTAAATTACATATGATGTGACACTTATTAATTAGAACATTAAATTAAAAAAAAGCGAATAAAAATTTGCATTTAATTAACAAAGAATTAGAAACCATATTCATCTATGTATTTCATGATTGTTTCGTGTAAGAGTTCAAATTCTATCCGTACAGCTAAATCCTTAACCGGACATTAAATACTTGATTTCTTTTCAATTATTGAATGATCACTAATTCAACTTTTTTGGTATATTGGTTGAATTTAAAGTTGTTAGAGATGAAGAGACGATCCAAACTACTCGAATGTTTTCTCATATAATTTAGCAGTTTTTTTATGAAATATGGTATCCTCACCTCAAGATTTAGAGAAGATCGATAGAAGCTTTTATATTTCAAAAGTAAATTTATGAACGAATAAGACACGTACGTCTTTAAAATTGAAAGAGAAATATTACTTACATAATGCAAACTTTTCGTATACTTTCATGCAAACCATTAATAACATTATCATCTTATTGTAACCTTTTTAACAAACCAAAATGGCAAACATATAGTAAGCAAACAAAATAAAAATTACATCACTCATGAACATAACATAATTGGAGTAAGAATTTGTATTTCTTTTCAAAAGGAAAAATGCATAAGGTAAAGTAGATGGAGCCAAACCGCGTTCTTCTGGAAGTTTTTGTTTATTTAAAATGTTATTCTAGAAGTTGTGAGGAACTGAAGAGAATAACAAGAAGAAAAGCTTGGTTAGGTTGATACTACTTTGGAAGTCAAAACACGTTGATATGCACACAAGTAGAATGGAAAAGCCGCCCCCAACTCTTTCCAATCATATGCATCTTTCCTTGTGTATGGAACGCTACTGAACCTTCCTAAAACACCTTCCAGAAGCTCTGATTTTCATAAATAATAATTTACAAAAGGTGTATTGTTGATGTTATTATATAGAAAATTACTCCAACGAGAGTACTTTATTCTTATTTAAATAATCTAAATTTAAAAAATTACTTATAATATTTGTAAATAGTCATGTAATTACTAATTACTTTTAAATTATTTATATATGATTATATAGTCTAAATTTAAAGTTTTCAAATATTAATTATTGTTCTATGTTTTTCTACGTGTCTCAACATATCATAATGCATCTTAATAAATGTTTATTTATTTTTATTTCTCTTCCTTCTTGTACAATTAAATGTACACACAACATTTTCCCTTAGGAAAACTGAAATATATAATAAAGGAGCAAGTTAAAACAACTTTCAGAAAGCGAATCGTTGGCTTTAGTCTAACCTACCTTGTGATGGATATTTTTTCTCCAAACAATAAAGTACAAATTGGGAACAGGCCTAGCCCAAACATAGGCCTAGCCCAAACACATGACAATCCAGAATAACTAGATTCGACTATGCAGCATGTGGATTGATTTTTCATTTCGGTATAAAGGGGGATGGCAGGCCCATTTACAAATAAGTTGGAACAGCATGCATGCGAGCACTTGTTTAGAGATTAGTCCCTTGGGACATGGATTGTAACGACCTTACATACTAAAATCACAACCCTATTCCCTCTCCCAATCCCTATTTATGTTGCAATTAAATTTTATCTTGTAAAAAATTAGAATAAAATAATAAAATATAAAATAAATTATTTTTATGACACCATCAATACATGAAAATAGCAATAATGTGTTATTAAAAGAGAAGATAAATAAAATAAAATACTGTACAATGCAGTGAAAAGAAAAATAAATTTAATGAAGTATAAAATATTAAAATGTTAATAAAAAGATAAATTTAGTGACAAGAAAAATAATTTAATAAAAAAACACAATTATTGGAAGAAATAATGAATAAAATATTAATAAAAGATACAAGATAAATTAAATCACACTATTAAAGCTTTTTATGAAAAAAAGTATTAAGAGAATAATATATAAAATAAATTTTAAAATGAAAAGGAATATTAAAATATAACCAGAAAGAATCATAGAAACTTTAGTATATTGTATAATTCTTACATATATTATTAAAATAGATAAACATAATTATTTTTTTAAAAATAGTAAGCAGTAAAATTTTGGGTTCAAGTTATTATGTACGAAAAAAACTTCGGTCAAATTAAATTAGATAAAAAATAAAAGAGAGAAATTGTCTCTTGAATGATTCTGAAAAAATAAATATATATAGATATTTTATAGTGAAAGAAAAACTTCTTACATGTAAAGAAATTACAAAATCTAATTTTAGTTGATTAAGATAATAATTATGTAACAATTAATTGTGATAGGATCTTACTTTTATAATAAATAAGTGTATATAATAAAAAAATTTAAATTTTTTTAAAAATAATTTTTTTTAGAATAAATTATATTTATAAAAAGATAAATCATAAATTTATTTCCTATATTTGATATACATTTTAAAATTTAGACTCTATACAAAAAGTTTATAATTTAACCTTTACATAATTAAATATTTTTGAATCAGTTATTATTAATTATAAATGTGTTGATAGTATTATATAAAAAAATATGAAAATATAAAAATTATAATGTAACTTTTCTTAACTATAAGACTTAATTTGTAAATTAACTATATAAATTACATTTGTATTTTAACAAATTATACTTTTTAAAAAATGTATAACACTAAACTTGATTAATAAAAATTTTGTATTTTAAATAAAAAAATAATCTTCAAAACACACTTGATTTTTTATTAATAAAAAATTATACTTTATTTCATAAATTTTTGTTAATGGTGGTTTTTAATGTTGAATTTAACCATCCAAAATTAGAAAAAAATATTAAAAAAATAATGTATTTATTGTATTAAAAATATAAAAATATAATAAATATTTTTCTATCAATAAAATTTTAATATATGATAAAAATTTATAATGATAAGTTATCTTCAGAAATTATAGTATTTCATAAAAACATTCTTATCCTATATAAATTAGAAAAATTATTTATAATTTTATTTTTTAATTCGTGTTTAGAGAACCAAATAAAGCATTAATATACACATTATTGATATAGTTTTTATTTTACAATAAATTTTATAGAATTTTCCTTTTGTATAAGAAAACAAGTTTACTATATTTAAGATATAAAATTAGACTAAATATAATTTTTTTTATCAAGATATAAGTTATCATTATCATGTATAATAAATTTATTTTGTACTTTTTTATTTTTATTTTTGAGCAAGTCCACTAAAAAGACCTATGTTATAACAAAATTATTTTTCTAATAATTTATTTTACTTTATTTCATATAATTTTATAAATCTCGGTATTTAATATTGAGTTGAAGCACTAAAAAATATATTTTATATTAAAAAAATGTATTAATTATATTAAAATAATAAAAGTATAATAAATTATTTTCCTTTGAACGTTGAAGTTAACCTTTATATTTTATATTTTTATTTTTATAATGCAATATTATACAGATAATATATATATATATATATATATATAATATTTAATAATATTAATGTACTGAATTGAATTCAATTTTATAATTTCCAATAAAAATTAATATAAAAAAATTCTTATCTCATATAATGTTTCACAACGTAAAAAAAATTATTGTATTTTTATCTTTTAATAAAAATTCAGAATAATAAATAAAATATTAATATTAGCATTATTCTTATAATTTTTTATTATATATTTCTTTCTAAGAAATTTATAGAATTTTTTTTACTATATTTAGCATAGAAAAATACATGAAGTATAATTTTATAAGATATAAGTTATAATTTTTTATTAAAATATATATTTAATATTAATAGTTGATATTTATTTATAAGTTAATTCTTATAATTAAAAATACATTTTAATATTTATTACACAATCTCTTAAAATTTTTAATTCTTTCTATTTAATATGGTCAATACATTTATAAATAATAAAAAAATAAATTTTAAAAAAATTACATATATAAAAATTTAAATATTTTTTATATAAAATAAATTAGAAAAACATCAAAACTAAATTTATAATAAAAAAAGATTAGAAAAAAAAGATTTAATGATTATTTGGTAGGTAAAAATGTTGTATAATTTAAATTTATATTTTATAAAATATTTAATAAAGACTCAATTCTTATTTTTTTATGAATAATATTTTTTAATTGTTTTAAGTGATGTAATGTAACTAAAAAAACTCTTAGAATCATGTTGACTAGAAGGATTAAAAAATATAATTTATAAAAAATTATGAATATTATGCCGACAAATTTTGTTATAGAAATTAATTTTAAACTATAAAACTTTTAGAGCAATTAAACATTTAATTCCATATTTTTTCATTACACATGAAGATAGGAACACGTGACGATCACGTTGACATACGACCCATGATAATGGTGTTTTTGCGGAAAGATTGACACGTAGTGAGCATGTCGTGAAGCCGCCTCGCACGTGTCAATGCCGTCACTTACTTCGTTCCTTCATAGTCATGTGCCTTCTCACTATCATTCTTTCTTTCACTCTTTTTCTTCTCTGGTTGACACCCTGTCCTGTCTCTCCTTCAAATTCCTCTTTCTCTTTCTACAACCCAACTTCGTTAGGTCAGTTTTTTTCGCATAATGTCGGGCAAAAGGAAGAGGAAGTTGAAATCGTAAGCCCCTCAAAATCTATGTCTTACTTTTGCTTCCTCATTTAAAAAAAAATAAAAAATAGCTAATATGTGAAAAACGATATTCAGCGCTGGATCAGTTTGGGTTTCAAGGAATGGCGGCTTTTATTTGGTTTCTGTCTCGATTTTGGGTCTGAATTCTTAATTTGAAACAATAATTGGGTTATGGATGGTTTAAAATGTGCTTAGGTTGTGATTGTGAATCAATTAGGGTTTATGGATCAGATCAGGGTCTAATGTTGTATAACTTTGTAGAAAATTGGGTTACTCCAGTGTGAATTATGGTGAACTGGAGCTGGAGCATTGTGTACTTGCTCTAGTTAATTTTAATTTTATTCATCTACTACTGTTGTGCTTTATTTTAAATGATAATTAAATCGGGTATTTTTTTTACTCTCTCTTTTTATTTAATTCTCAAACTGACTTTTGGCATGCTCCAGTAAACCCAAGTCATCAATTTTTAAAGTATTCTTGATGTGGTATTATTATATTGGTTAGTATACTGACCATGATATAAACATCCAAGTTTATGTTTCACAAACCTTGAGTGGTAGAAGAAGTGAGGTTGGTTTGCATATTTATTGGGATAAAGCCCTGTTCAGGTCACAAGGTTATAGTCTCTTTAACCTTTTCTGCTGTATATTAAGTACATTTGAGTGAATTGTTCAACTTCTCTCTTACTTTGTCTCTGATTATTTAGGTTGAGTGATACAATTACTGACAACAGAAGAGCAAAGGTGGAGGTGGAAAATGAAAATTTGGAGCTGCAAACCTGGTCTGATCTCCCTCCCGAACTCTTAGAATTAATATTGTCCCGTTTAACCCTAGATGATAATGTTCGTGCTTCAGTTGTTTGCAAGAGTTGGCATTCTGTTGCTACAGCTGTACGTGTGGTAAACCAATTGCCATGGCTAATGTATTTTCCAAAATTTGGTAACTGGTATGAATTCTATGACCCTGCGCAGCGTAAGACTCATTCCATTGAGTTGCCAGAGTTGAATGGATCTAGAGTTTGCTATACAAAAGATGGTTGGTTACTCCTATACCGGCCCAGAACTCACCGTGTGTTCTTCTTCAATCCCTTTACTCGGGAGATTATCAAACTGCCAAGATTTGAGATGTCATACCAGATAGTTGCCTTCTCTTGTGCTCCAACATCAGCTGACTGTGTTCTGTTTACTGTTAAGCATGTTAGTCCTACTGTTGTGGCCATTAGCACATGTCACCCTGGGGCAACAGAATGGCACACTGTTAGTTACCAAAACCGATTGCCCTTTGTGAGTAGCATATGGAATAAGCTTGTGTTTTGTAATGGACTCTTTTATTGTCTGAGTCTCACAGGTTGGCTAGGGGTTTTTGACCCATCTGAATGCACTTGGAATGTTCTTTCAGTACCTCCACCCAAATGCCCAGAGAATTTTTTTGCCAAAAATTGGTGGAAGGGGAAATTTATGACAGAGCATGAGGGAGACATAATAGTAATTTATACATGTTCTAGTGAAAATCCCATTATTTTTAAGTTAGATCAGACATTAATGGAATGGGAAGAGTTGAAAACACTGGATGGAGTAACTCTTTTTGCTAGTTTCTTGTCTTCTCATTCAAGGACTGACCTCCCTGGAATAATGAGAAACAGCATCTACTTCTCTAAAGTTCGTTTTTATGGAAAGCGTTGCATATCATTCTCTCTTGATGACTATAGATACTATCCTCGTAAGCAGTGGCATGATTGGGGAGAACAAGACCCGTTCGAGAACATATGGGTTGAACCACCAAAGGACTTCTCTGGGTTCACATGAAGAATTTTAGTGAAACAGGTAAGTTTTCCCAAATCAGTAATGTATAGATAGCTTAATAGCTAGCTTGTCGATATCCTTTAGTAAGTAATTATGTATGTTGTAACATTTCATCTATGTTATTGATGTTTTTATTAATTAATTATCAGTGTTTGCTTCATGCAAATTGTAAAGCTATCCAGCATGTGCTCATTCAATCATTCTTATTCATTTTAAGTTATAGGATTTAATTTTTATTCCCTGGCATCTCTTTAAAATAGTTTAACTATGGCAATATCTATCTATGAAGTCAAATTTTCTAATAATGTATTGATGTGTCACACTTGATTGAATGATAGAATAAAAACTTTGACTGAAAAGAGAGCTAAACTTATAACACAAGTTTCATTCAATTATTAAAGGGATTTTTCCTAAATGGTTACGTGTGTTAATACTTCATAGTATCTTTAGTTTTAGTTTCACTCATAAGTATAAATGATACTTTGCATTTATTGCATTCGTTTACATAAAAATTATTGTAATTTCTATTTAATAATTTTGAAATGGCTTGGTTACTGCCAAAGTTTTACAAATGACCATGGTCATTACTGGCTTTGGTAAAGAGAATAGGGACTAGATGTTAAATTATGAAATATAATATTTTTTGTATGTGTTTTGCATGCATCTTGGCTGCAGCTTTGAAATTTTTCAAAAACCCAAAGATGTCCTAAATTTTAACATTGCATTATTGCAGAACCATGTATGCAGCGAAATAAAAAAAGTCTATAAATGGGTTTAGAAAAACTGATTGTGCCTCTTCCCATTTTTGAACCTTCGTTTCCCTGACTATGTTATTGTGCAACCGAACCCACTGCTCTCTAGTGAACTGCCAGTGTTTTTTGGTCAGTTCTGGTGCTTTTTTGCCAAACCGCCATTCTTTGTCCCATTATTTTGCATTTTCAGCCACGTGCTTTAGTTTCCCCTTTGTTTTTCTATTGTTTTGCAAGCTGTTCTCCTCTTACTATTGTTCGTGAGCAAGTGTACTTGCTAAATAGTAATAAAAGTGATTCTCAAATTGAGTTTCTAGAATATCATCTCACAAAGATTATTTTCAATTATAAAAAATTTTGTAATTTAATTGTTTGAATTTAAATAATGTGTAATAAAATAAAATAATGATATGAAATAATTAAATTAAAAGGTAATTAAAAGATTAAGAAAACAACAAAACTTCTAACAAGCAAAATATTCAAGATGAACTCAGAGCTTTTAGTTTCATCTTTATACTTTTTTCACTTTTAGTTTAATTCCAATCCCAATTTTTCTATGATTGTTAACCATGGTGTGTGTACTTCCTTAGAAGCTCTCTGTACAACTCTCATGTCTCATATAAGGATTCTAACTTATATTGTTAAAAGTTAGAAATTTTTGCAATGATTTTTGTATAACGAGGTGGGAGAAAGTATTTCTCCAAGAACTATTAAGTTAGATCATCCCATGTCATGATGGAATGGTTGGTACCATCGAGAATTATACTTTTACCTTTTCCGAGATAGAGAATAAATAGAGGCGAATCTTAATAGCATTTGACACCAACACCATTGTATTTTATGGTGTTTATGAGCCAGAGAAATTTTGTTAGACGAAGGTTAGGATCTTCATTAGGTGAACTTCCAAACTGCTAAAAATTAATTGGCCTAATTAAATGTAACATATTCCTCCTACTAAACTTGGCATCCTAGCCCGTATCCTTAACTGATCATCTTAGAAGAATCCAACTTATGAATTTGAATTTGACCTGCTTAGATTACTATTGGTAATTGTATCTTTTTAATTTTTTCTTGTCTCCTTATTTTTCTGAAACCGGTTCTCATGTACAAAAATTATAACATATATCAGCAGTCCAATATCTCCCTTACTCATCAGCCAAACACTTCTGCACGTGTTTTTGATGGGTAAATGGTTATTTAGTAGTTTGTCAAAGATGATTTTCTGTTCTTTGTGCCAACCTTGGGACTGGCATAGTGCATTTTGTCAAAAAATAAACCGTTTTGTTAAACAGGCATTTTCATACAACAGTCATAGTGCATTTGTGATTATTCATCCAGTTCATGAAAATTTTCCATGTTGCAGTTTCAGAGTTTCTTGTTACCATACTTTTGGGCTTCAGCAGTTCATGAGTGAAGCTCATTTGGAAGCATGCCGAAGGCAGCATCTTTACTATATAATAGGAGGCTACTAATATGTGAAGAATCACATCTGTTGGGGTAAGCTAAGACTTAACCCCTTTGATTATCTTGTCTCTGCTGATCTAGAATTTTTAAGATTTTTCCCAACAAATTAGTGATGTAGTGCTTATGCAGAACAATTGGAGTTCATGCTAGAATTACCCACAGATTTATTGACATATTTATTTTGGGCATATGATCTATAGATTTATTATCATAATTGTTATTGGTCTTTTAAGTTTGTTTAGTTGGACTGCCTTTAGCAAGTGGAAGGTTGTTTGATGATTTCTCAACGAAACTGTGCACTACTACACACTACAGTACTCGATAAATTTCGACCGCACCTTGAATGGACAAGAAACAGTTTTTCCAGTTACTAGCGGATTAATCTTCTCCTTTATTAGAAACCAATAAAATACCCAAGGAAGTCTCTGATAATTTTTTTCAATGCATAATGCAAAAGTAAAAATAAAATACTTCAAGGCTATTGGCAATCGATCGGAGCATACATTTAGGTGGCGTTTGATACAAGGAGTCTTTCATTCTTAATTAAATTACTTTCCTCACAGTGAAATTCTTAATAGGATTTTTGGAAAAAAATAGAAATTATAGTTATTAAATTTTGTTAGGAATTTAAGCTTTATGATTAATTATCATGAGAAAATTTAATAAATTTTTATTAATTATTATGTTTTATATTTTTCCTGTAAAAATAGAAAAGTTCTATTCTTATTTACAAATTAACATTTTTAAGAATTTTTTAATTTTGGAATGTAATTTTATTCTTTTCTTTCAAATACGGAAAAAAATTATTTGTTATATTTTCAAGAATGTTAAATATATATTAAACGAAAAGCTATCATGAGGAATTTCTTTCTTATTAAATAATTTAACATTTCAACTAGCCTTGAAATTTTTACATTTGACGTACGGACCATAGATTCCCGAAGAAGGATGTAAAAAGTAAACCAGCAAATCCATGTCTTCAATTTTCCGAAAGGAATCATGAATCCTGGGGTCTACCACCCATTTTTAAAATTCTTTTGTGAGCTTTTATCTTTGGCTGTGGAGACTAATATGTATACCATCAAAAGCAAATCGGAAAGATGTTTGATTAGCTAATATACATATGTAACATAATACATAGCCCAAATTGAAACGTAGCAACTGTGTTTCCAGCAATCTTTGAAACAGCACTTAAAACACAAATGAACAATAATAGTAGATTTCAGTATTAAAGGCTTCTGACTAACAAGTACACCAGACCACAGTTTGCTACACAAGGATCCCTGTTAGGAAATGTCCAACAACTATCTACGCCCTTAAAAGCAAGCAACATTAAGTGCACTTTTGATGAAAGCTCAAGGCGTGCTAACCAATGACTGGGTAAACCTCTACCCCAACCTTACACCAAAAAATTTCAACTTACACATTCCACTACATATCAAGCTTCCTCCAGTGACAGCCACAATAACTCTTCTTTTAAGCTCTGCTAAAACAATGAACATGGTTCATTGTCACCATTTAAATCTCTCAAATCGAGGAGTGGTACATATCAGATCTTGCTTGAAAGCATTAACTTCTATATGTTTTTCTTTTCTTACCTAAATTTGTTTGCCATTGTTCTAGTTTCTTGTGATCCTAAGTCCTAATTTGGCTAGAAAAAATAAAGGAAAAAAAAGGCAGGGATGCCATAGTCATATCTCAAAAGCTAAAACCAATTTTATTAGTTTACAACCAATTGCATCACCAAAATTGGTCCATTTCTCAACATACATGGATTTTCGCTGTAACACTAATAACATCAACCGCCATTTATAAGAGTAGCTGGCAGGAGTGATCCCTTAACTTCCAATTACAGCTCCGACATAGGATTCAACAACCTGCATTACTACCAAACCTTTCATTCAATGTACAATGTAACAGTTCTACATTGACAAAGACTACAGGATTGTACGTATCCAAGTATTATAATTTGATAATAATATTGTTACACCTATTTTCTCTTGACAGTTAGCTACCTATATATTTTTCTCATTTTTACTCTTTAACATTTAAAACAATTTAAATAGAATTTCGATCCCTAGTAAAGAGTATTAAAAGTTAATTTAAATAAGCTTTTTCATAAGCATTCATAACAGAACATCCTAAGATAAATTAAGGAAGTAAAATAAATCAATTTTTTTAGCAAGTTAAAAATAACTTATGCATTTCAACTTTTCTATTAATTCCCTCGTTATTTTAACTCATTGCTTCAACTTTTGTTTTTTGATAAAACCTTGATTTTGTTCTTCTAAAGTTACGAGTGTCGTCATATTAATTTTATAAAAAATTGGGACATAAAACTAGTGTTTCAAATATTTAAATTGTCATCACATTAGTTTCTCAAAAATTTTCTCGTCAAATAAATTATTAAAGATAACTAAAATATCAATAAGATAAAATCTTTGAAAGATTAATTTGACAATAAAAATAAATCTTTGCTAAAATATTTTAGTGACAAGATTTTTGAAAGACTAACGTGATGATACTTATAACTTTAGAATATGAAATTGATAATATTTATTTTATTTTTTATCATATAAAAATTTATTCCAACTAACTTTTAATATATCTTAGTAAATAATCAATATCATTTCTAGATAAAAACAAATGGCAATGCATCAAGTATATCATTTCTTATAATTTTATTCTATTAAATATTATTGCTTAAACTTAATTCATCCTAATTTTAATTTAAAATTATAAATTTGATATGTTAGATCAAATTAATAAACTTAAGGATACTCTGTCTTGATATATATATATATATATATATATAATTTTATTTTTCATTTGAAAAAACTAAGCACCTCAACAATAATTAATTGATGTGAACTGCTAGTCACAGTTGCAAACAACGTTTAATTAGAATTTACATCCCACCAAAGAATCAAAATTTGCAAAGCCATTTCTTATTATGAGCGCCCATCTTGCAATTAGTGACACTGCCAACGAACCTCGCTTAATTAACAACAAGCATTTAATTCAACCCAATTGAGTGAGTTTCCTTTTTTAACATTATTAAATGAGAAGTATCTTTGGCTATTAAAGGCCATAACCTAAATGGTACTTTGAAAGAGAAATTAAATATCAAAATCCGAGATTAAGAAAAAGAAAATGTTAAGTGTTTATAGGGTATTGGTAAACAAAATTAAAATTATTATTAATATATCTTATAAAATTTAATGTATTCCAATATGAGTTTTAATTAAAAAAAATATTATTTATTTCTTAATTAATATTGTTAAAGAGGCTTCAAAGAGAAATAATTTTAACTTTTTTCCACAGAAATGAACATAATATTTATACAAAGTAACCCTATGATTTCTCGTCCATAAAAGAAAGGATTGAAGAATAAAAAGAATAACAATTATACATATATTTTTTATTAAATATACAAATGCCTAACTTATAGCTAATAAAATATTTGTCTTATCTTAAGTCTTAACTGCCGTTATCAAATTAATGTATATATATACTATAAAAAAATTTTAGGTCCATACTAGTAAAAAAATTTAGATCCATTGGTAGTAGTTATTTCAGTTTAATTTATGATTTTAATAAATAAAATTGTATTAAATATTTTTTTAAAAAATTATTGTTTATAATAATTTTACCTGTCTCGAATAAAATGACCTCGAGTAAAAGATATATGCTATCTAAATAAAAAAAAATTGGTGTAATAAATATTACATATTTCCAACTTAAATAACTTGTTAAATACTTTGTTTGCAACTCCTTTAGTGAAAACATTGTCTAACTAGTGTTTTGACCTATAAATTTTTTTAGAATTACATTTGATAATTAGATTTAAATAATAATAATTATTATATTTTAAATTAATAATTTTGTTAATTTTAATTTTTAGAATTAAATTTAAATAATTATTAATGATAAAATTTTCTTAATTTTGTATATGTAATGTAGTAAATTTTATTATAATAAATATTTTTATCTTTTAATTAATTTTAAAAACTTTAATTGACAAAAATCTTAAATTAAAAGCCTACATAAGAATATAAAAAATTAATATATTATGTTTTTGCCTTTTTATGTTAAAAAATTATGAAATAACAACTTTATTAAAATTTTAAGATTCATCCCTTTCTCAATTTCTTTCTAAATATACTTGAAAATAAAGTGAATCATTTCACATGTCATAATACCGTTGACCAAGACATTAAATTTCATTCCGAGTGTAGTTGAACTGCTCAAATGCTTAGTGTAGTATCAGAGGCATTCAATGTCGTTATGTTTGACAGATTTATATATTTTTAAATCTTTTAAAATATTATATACATTTTTCTTTATATATATATATATATATATATAATTATGATTATTTTATTCGATGCATGATGTTTGCTTCTAATTTAATATCTGTCTGTAGATGATATTAATATTTAATGTGATCAAGATAGAACACAGTTTTCAGATAGATTCCAATGTAGGGAAGAAACAAGAATGAAGAGATGTGAATTAGGATCATCAGTAGTTTTGTGATCTGCCAAGCTCATGGGATGGTAAATGGTTTATAAATTGTTACTTTATTTGTTACTTATTCAATTTTGGTTATTTAAATTATAATAGAGTGATAAGTTAATTATTAATTATATTGAAGTGCTCATTTTTGTTTTATAATTAATTATGTTGATGTGTCTATTAGTTATGTTCACACGTTTATATCACTATGTTTAAAAAAAGATTTTTTTTTTAAATCTCTAGGGAGACACGTAGGAATACAAAGAATAATATTATTATGAAATAATATTTTTATAATGCAAATCAGATGAACAAGGACTTATTAGCAAAATTAACATCTACTTCTGTTAAAATTTAGATGATGAGTTGATGGATGTAATTTTATTTTTAAACAAGGAAGATAAAAATTGTACAATTAAAAATCAAGAAATTAAAATTACTCAAATTAGTGGAATCAAAGTCACACAATTATAAATTAGGGGACCAAAATTTATTAAGTACTAAATTAAGGGAATTAAAATCACATGATAAGACCAAAATTAAACAAGTATCAAACTAAGAAGATCAAAATTATAATCAAACCATAAATTTTTATTTAAAAATAAAAAATACTAAGTAATACTTTTAGAATATTGTTTAAGAAATTAAAAATTCTTTTTATTAAAAACATAAAATGATACTTACTCCTGTAATTTTTAATGTACCCAATATATAAGAAAAAAATTAGTTATTAAGTTTTTAATATATATCTAATAATATAAAGTAAGAATCTGTATACAATAAATTTTTAAAGAATTATAAAATTTAATGCAATAAAAATTATAAAATATACTAAATACTAAAGTTTCTAATAAAATTATATTATTTAATAAATTTTATTATGTACTTTTACACGCATATTACAGCCTTAAACCATGATGTGATTAATAAAAGAGTTAACATGGAAGAGGAACAGAGCGTAGAGTAGTGAATGATGATGACGATGATGATGATGATGATGTAGTGAATTAAATCCACATGATGATAGATTAACAAAGAATGTTGCGAGCGAAGCATAGTAGCATTTTCAATTCCATTTCGTTCTCTTCTCGTTGAAGAAGCAGAAACAGAATGCCAATGTCACTGTCAATGTCATCATTTCTGCTAAAGCCCCACCCCCCCTTTCCCTCCCAATTCCAATTCCACCCTCACAAACCCATTCATTCCCTTCGAATCCACAACTGCACAACAAAAACCCACACACAAACCATCCAATTCCTCAAACCGTACCTTTTCTCCCAACACAAAACCATCCTCTGCGGTTGGCTCTGCAGTGCCGTCTCCGTCTATTCCCTCTCCAACCTTCTCTCCAAATTCTCCAAAATCGGCACCGTCACCACTCTCGATACCCTTCCCCTCGTCGCTCTCGTCGTTACGCGCTTGATCGCCACCTACGCGCAGCACGCTCTCCTTTGGGAAGCTTCCCTTAACGCCGTCTATGAACTCCGTTTGCACGTCTTCGATCGCGTTCTCCAGAGGGAACTCGCCTACTTCGAAGGAAACGACAGCCTTTCCGCCGGAGATATTGCGTATCGAATCACCGCCGAAGCTTCCGACCTCGCCGATACCTTTTACACTCTTCTCAACGTCGGTACCATTCTTCATCATTTCCTCTATGAATCTTTTATTCCAATCACCCATTCAATTCAACAATTATAATCGTATGCAAAGCTACACGTTAATTTAACTTCATTTTCTTCTCTTTTATTTATTTTTAAAGTTAAATATATTTTTTATTCCTAAATTTTTACAATTTAATTTTGAATATAATAATAATAATATATTTGTTTACACAGTTGTTTAATTTTAGATTTTTATATCAATAAAAATTATTAATTTTTATAATAATTAATTTAAAATTATATTTATTGTATATTTTAATTGATTAATGATATAATTTTTTTTATGCAAAACCGTATTAAAATTAAACTCATACTTTTGTTTTTGGTTTTAACATCTTACATTTAGGTAAATAAGAGAGGTCAAAATAAAAAATTATAAAAATATAAAGACCAAAGGAAATAATTACAAAAATATAAGGACTAAAATAAAAAATTAACAAAATTATAAGAATTTAAAATATGTTTAGATTTTTTTTATCATATTAAATCGTTTATCGTATTTTTGCATTTCCTCTCACTCTTTTTTTAGGTTGTATGAGAAACATTAATCGTTTAAAAAAACAGTTACTAAAAATACTTTACCATATTAAAAAATAATAAATAATGTATTCATTATTCTTCTGTTAAAGTTGATAGTTTACGGTAAAATAACCGTATCATAATATTCTGAAATTTTAAAACTATGTTCGAGATTGTTTGTTTGCATTCTGTTTGTTTTATCAACTCAACGGAGTTTATGCACCTTCTATTTGAAAGATTATTTAAAATCAATTTTGGATATCAATTTCCACATGGAGCAATTTGTAGTTAAAGATTATTTTGGATATATATTTTAATTAATTCAATTATTTAAAATTAATTTTACTCAATTTTAAAATAAATAGACACTGAAGCCAAATTCTCCTTTCAAGTTTCAACTTACAAACAGGCACTTAAATGCTATTTCGTTGTAAGTTGGTGGAATTTTTGTTCATGGCCCAGTTAGTACAGTACTTTATATTTCAGCATGTCACTTTATTACGTTTGATTGCTTTGTTGTCCCGCTGAACCTTATTGTACTACGTGATGTGTGATGGGAGGGAATGTGACTCCTCCTCTGGTGTACCCTTCATTTGCTATACCTGACTCGTGGCTTTGCTTGTCATTTTGAGATGCATGGCAATTGCATTTATAGTGCATTTTTGGGAACACTTTTTTAGTCCATTGTGTAATCACTTGTATCTAATGACTTTTTTTTTTTGGTCCTTTTTTTTAACAGACCATAGTACCCAGTACCCTGCAGTTGTCGGCAATGATGATGCAGATGTTAGTTATAAGTCCTGCCCTTTCTTTGATTTCAGCAATGGTGAGTCACAGTCAGGGGCTTGTGCTGGTTTCACACTTGATGGTGCATGGTAAATTTAATTTTTGTGTCGTGGGTTTGGAAATTGCAGATTATTCCTTGCATGGTGCTAGTTGTTGCCTTGCTGGGTCAAGAACTTCGCAAGATATCCAAAGAGGCACATATTAGCATTGCTGCTCTCTCAGCTTATCTAAATGAGGTAACAAGCAATAATCTTAAAGGTGACTTTCTATTTTACCTGGAGTGTCAATGTTATTTATTTTTCTTTTAAATTAAGGTGCTTCCCGCAATTCTCTTTGTGAAAGCAAACAATGCAGAGTCGTGTGAGAATGCCAGGTTCAAGAGACTGGCTATGATGGACTATTCTGCAAAGCTGAAGAAGAGAAAGATGAAAGCTGTGATTCCTCAGGTTATACAAGCTATTTATTTTGGAATCCTTTCCATACTTTGCGCTGGTTCAGTGATGATTTCAAGAGGCTCATTTGATCGCTATATCTTGGTTTCATTTGTGACATCGTTGCTTTTCTTGATTGGGCCAATCCAGGTATTGTTATCATCATGATTCAGCTTTTGAGTTGTCGTCTCTGGTTATCATCAATCTGAAAATAAAAAGAATCATGCAGGATGTTGGAAAAGCTTACAATGAATGGAGGCAGGGAGAACCAGCAGCTGAACGCTTGTTTGCTATGACCAGGTTCAAAGATAAGGTAAATGTATCACATGTGATTTGCACACTTGATTTAACTTTCTTCTTTCATTTTGTAATGTTTGCTGTCAAATTCGACTGAAAATTTTGTTTTTCTTAAGTTTTGTTAATTCAATCAAGATAATGTGTTGCAGTGCAATAACAGATCATTTTGTTTTCTTGAATAATAGGTAGTTGAGAAACAGGATGCTGTTGATTTGGACCGAGTTACAGGGGAGCTGAAATTTTGTGATGTCTCATTTGGATATAATGATGATATGCGACTTATTTTAAGTGGATTGAATCTTCACATCAGAACTGGAGAGATAGTTGCTATCGTGGGTCCTTCTGGTGGAGGGAAAACAACACTAGTAAAACTGTTGCTTCGGCTTTATGATCCAATATCTGGTGAGCGATGTAAAATAAATCTCAGCATGGGGATGGTGATTTATTAAATACATTTATTATACCAACTGGTTATAGTTTTACATTTTAGTCCCCTTCTTATCATTTGCTTTTATCAGTCTTCTTATACCTACAGGTTGTATACTGATTGATAACCATAACATCCAAAACATTCGGTTGGCAAGTTTAAGAAGGCATGTAGGTGTTGTTTCTCAAGATATAGTAAGTGACACATGCCTTTGCATTATACTTCCTTATGAGTTCAGAGTTTGTACTTCCGATCATGATGTTCGTAATAATTTAACATATGCTCTTTTTTGCTATCATGAATGGAGAAACAAAGGGAACAAGAAACCAAGTTTTATCTCAAATTAGTTTCCATAAGAAATCATTTTTAAAAGTTTAGGTAGTGCCAAATAATATATCTAAAAAGTGCCCCCCACTTCATCCTTTAGCTTTTTTTTTCTTTCTTTCTTCCCCTTATATGTTTACCATCTATTCCTTTGAAGTGTTTTATTTTATCAATTGTTTGATTTTTCTGGTATTTAATTCAGCTATTTCGGGCATTCTTGATTGCTAGCATGAATAGATTTTATATGCTGATAAATTTGTAATCCTTTGTAAATTTATACATCATGCCATTCCTCATGGTTTGACCAGCAGAATCGACAGATATCTCACCAATACTGATGTGTATACTCTAGACACTCTTTTCAGGTACAGTTGCTGAAAACATTGGTTATAGGGATCTGACAACAAAAATTGACATGGAGAGGGTAAAGCTTGTAGCTAAAACTGCTCATGCAGATGAGTTCATTAAAAAACTTCCCGAAGGATACAAAACCAACATTGGACCAAGGGGCTCAACTTTAAGTGGAGGCCAGAGGCAAAGGTAAAATTTCAATTCAAACTTCATTATGTTCTCCTGTAGGCCATGATTGAACAGCTAATTTTTTTTCTGTTTGAGGGAGCATTTGCTAGGTATGATAAATGTATAGATCAAATTTGATGCACTCCATATTTTTGAAGCTTCATTGATGTATGGCTTCTCTCCTTGATCTGTTCCTTCCTTTCTCAAAATCACAGGCTGGCTATTGCACGGGCTTTCTATCAAAATTCTTCTATATTAATTCTGGATGAGGCAACTTCATCGTTAGACAGTAAATCTGAGTTATTAGTGAGACAAGCTGTAGAGCATTTGATGCAAAATCGCACAGTAAGACAACTAGACTTTTCTGTCCTTTGACATGTGACATTTTTTGTCTCTTATGATCATTTTACCTGCATATGCTGACAGAAACGGACACAAAACAAGCTATAGGAATCGCATGATCTAGCTAAATATTTGGTGTGGATGCTATTTATTTTATCTTCTTTTGGTTGAAGTTTATCCTATTTCTTTGATACATTCAGGTCTTAGTTTAAATCACAGGACCATTATATTGGGGTTTAACTTTGGACTCCGGAGCGATTTTTCCGTTTTTTTTTTTTTTTTTTTTTTTGAATCTTATTTCATTACTTTTAGTTTTCAGTAAGTTTGTCATCGAATATCCTTTGCTGAGACCTTAACTAGTTTTTGGATTTATTGGTTAATATTTTGCACTCTGTTGGTAATTTGTATAGCTTTTTCTTCCCTATGGAAGTATTCAAACATTCTTCCTATGTTCATAGGTACTAGTGATTTCGCATCGCTTGGAAACAGTTATGATGGCTAAAAGAGTATTCCTTTTGGATAATGGGAAGCTAAAAGAGCTGCCTCGGTCAACTATGCTAGATGGTCAGAAGGATTCTTTGCTATCATCTGGACTTGTTATTTGAATATTTCTTGCAACTGCACGGATGACATACATATATATTTCACATTTACCTTCTCATAAATGTATTTCTCATAGCATATTTATGGTAATGGTGGTTATATATTCATTTATTTCACAGCAATGGGCTTTTTCTCTCTGTACATGTATGCGAGTGTAAACGTGGATGCTCTTCACATTCCTTTACCTGTACATTCTTTGTTAATCATATTTTTATTTTTCTTTGAGGGATCATATTATTTTAGTTCATGCTACCTTCTACTTCAAATGTGTTTTTTTTATTTGTTTATGTGCTCCTTTATTTTCAATTTGGTGTCATACTCAAGCAATTGAGGGAAAATTCACTATGAGTTTAATACTTGTCAAATAGAAAACCAATCCATGGAACTTCTGCTATATCAATTATAAGATCACTCGCTCAGTGCAAGTACACGTGCTTGCTCGCTGCAAAATAAATACTCCCCCAAGTCCTTTTTACAAGGATCAAAATGTAATAATTTTTTGGTCTTAATTATAGAAAATATAATATAAATTTGAGATACATTAATTGTCAATTTTTTTATATATTTTTATTAGTATCATTAAATATGTAAATCACTAATTATATCATTTAACATAATAAGTATTTTTAAAATAAAATTTATATTTATAAAAAATATAACTGATTTAATTATTTTTCTTAATCTTTTGCCTTTTGTTTCTTTTGTTAATATATAAAAATTACCGGAGAGAGAGAGAGTACTGTGTTCCTATAATTAAGTCACGCACTTTTCTTTCTCACTGGGTTACAAAATCACCCCATTTTACTGACTGAATGCGGCTCCAATGCTTCAACGCTTAACAGATGGTCATTGTGGGCATAACAACTGGTAATTGAAGAGAAAAAATGAAATCTAAAACAGAATTGGGATAAGAAGAATAAAACTTTTTAAACTCGCACTCAGATGTCAATCGTCAAGCTACATTGAGAAAAGCATACATGATTATCATTTAATGAATAATAGCATTAAAGGGTGCTGAGGACTTATTTGACAGCACAAAACCAGAACTATGGGAACTAATTCATATATTTGAAAAAAAAAAGAAAGAGAAAGGGACCTGACAATAAAAACAACGTAGACAATTTCTATAAATCTTCTATATTTCCCTTTGGGAAGGTAGGGTCATTTCTCTCTTAATTTCTTGGTTATTGCAAAGGCAGCTCCCGCCAGAGCAACAACAATGCCTGAAATTATAATGGCTGATTTTAGTGTTTCCAATGCCTCATTCTTTTCTCTTTCCTTTTTTTTCTGTTTGGCCTCAGTTTGTTCCTTCATCCAATCAAGCAAGTATATACATAACACCAATCAGTACGTGATACAGAATAATGAAACACAGAAGAGAGGCTATAAATTCTTCAAAGAAGTCTCATAATTCCACCTAGAAAAGGGAAAAAGTAAAAAAGCTATTTCCAGTAGCATTTTCATTATATATGAAAATAAAATATAAAAACTCAATTAAAATATACCAACAATATGAAAGTTTTCTGTACTCTCTTTTAATTATAACTCGTCATGTCATTCAAAATCATCGACTTATGTAATAATTACTTTTAAAACTCATATTTATAATATTTTTTATCTACGGTGAAAAAATCATATCAAAATAAATCCTAAAAATATATCACCTTCATTTCCTTGGAGGCAGCCACCTCAGAAGATACAGGATCAACTTGAACCTGTGTATTGTTCCCAGGATTCAGCTCTCCAACAGCATCAGCTGGTGGAAATGTTAGGTCTGAGTTCTGAGGTGGGCTTCCCATTTTCTTCTAGCTAGCTTTCTAGCAATGGTACTCTAACCTTGTTATGGAACAATCGTAGGAGGGAAAAGAGAAGAGAAAGAACTCCCAACATTATCAAGGGTTCATGTAACCAATACAATAAACACGTGTCATTGTTGGAGATGCTGAGGTTGTTACAGCTTTGTGGGTCTCAACGTCATTGCCTTCTGGTTCTCAAACTTGCCGATAAACTTGTTCAGACTAGCCTAAACTTTCGGTTCTAAGAAAACAACTATGCTTTTCTACCCAAAAAAACAATACGAAAAGAAATTCAGTAAATATTATTTAAGAAGGAAAAAATGCTCACTTTTTTCTGCTTTCTTTGGTAACAAAACAGAACTATCGGTCGCAGTGTCTCACTTCTTTCTGTGTACTAAAGCAATAAATCTTGTCATTTATTTTTTTTTAAATCTAATATTTTGAAGAAATTATGACTCAAGATAGATAAAAGTCATAGAACCTTTGTTTCTATTGTCCTTTCTTTTCACTTTTCTTTATAACACTTCATTGGTAGGTATATAATTCTCGAAGAAAAATACAAACCAGTGTGTTAAAAGTATTAATTAAAGAATTAAAAATAAAAATTTTTGTTAAAAAAATGTAAAAATGCACTTATTGATTCATTAACCGGTTTATAGGCACATAAGTTAGCAAGACTCATTCGTTTTACTTTTTTGCTTTTAGATTGTCAACAATTGTAAGAGCATCTCCAATGCTGCATCATTTTAGTTGCTTGCCCCTTTAGTTTATATCTTTTAGGTTTAAGTACAACTTTTGTCCACAAATGTAACTCTTTTTTCAATTTGATCGTTGTTATAAAAAAAGGTTTGTAATAAGTATTTGAATAAAAAATTATTTTTTAAATAATTCTTGTTGTTAACTTTTGGTATAAAACTGTTACATAATATTTATATATTTTATATTTTAATCCAGTTATATAAATTTTTTAAATTGTAGTCGTTATTGATAAGGTAATTTTTATTTTAATCCTTATAAAAAATTAATTATAAAGATAAAACAATTGTATTTCACAAAGAATCAAAATAAAAAAAATGTATATTAAGGTTAAGTTTTGAAAAGACTACAAAATTTATAATAGATTATAAAAAATAATTTAATAATTTAAAATGATATTATTATAACTTAACGTGGTTATAAAGTTTGTTACAAGAAAATGATATTTGACATTTAAAAACTATTTTGCTTTTATTTATTATAAAATATTACAAGAAAATAATGTAAATTAATTTTTAAAATATTAAGTCATTATTATTATTTTTGTTTAAGAAAGTAGCGACAGTGTCTTGTTTAATTTTATTGATTTTGTTATATAGGCTAAAATTTATAATTAAACTTATTCATACTTTTATGTACAATTATCATGAATTACTTGTTTTATGAATAAAATTTAAATATAATTATTTAATTAAAAATTTATCTTATTAATTAAAATAATATAAGTCAATATAAAGGATTATATTAATCTGAAAAATAAATATCTAATTTTAATTAAAAAAAGTATTAAAAAAAGTTAAGGTATGATATAAAATTTTATTCTTAAATAATCTTTTAAATGTATCACAGATATAATAACAAAATACTTTTAATTAAACTCTCACTCACTTAATAATAAAGTACCTATTATAATGTGACATGAATTATTGTAATATTTTTAATTTATTTTTACAATAATATTTTTTTTAATTTTATTAATTAATACTTCTTTTAGTTTAGTCTTTATAGTTAACATATTTTTTATTATGATTCTTGTAATTTTTTTTTCACATGAGGGCTAAAATAAAAGTGTGTTGTACAAACAATCATTTTGAAAATAATTTTTTTACTTAAACCAAATAATATTTAAACCTAATTTTTGTGAGCTCTATACAAATGTCTCTCTTATTTTATATCTTTAAGTAATTTTCCTTTTTAATCATGTAAATTCAGAAGATTTATTAAATAAATCACACATGTTTACTCACACTTTTAAAACTAATCCACTCTATCATTGTACAAATTGACCTTGCGTTTTATACTAAGAAACCTTGTCTTTGCATCTTCAGTTAATTAACATATCAGGTTGCTTCAATAGTCTAACATACTCTATTTAAGGTTTTCAACATTAGCCTTACAAGTCGTTTAATTCTTAGTAACTTAACTATCTCTTAAAAGGGAAAAAAATAAAAATAAAAATAATAAAAAATTAATTTAAAATTTAAATTTAACCTTTGAAAACCTTAGTCTTGAAGCAGTAAACACAAATCTAAAATTTCCTTTCCTTCTAATATTTTTTAATATAACTTTAATGTTAAAATATTTCCTTTATTAAGGTTTACAAATCCCTTTCTCCAGCAAGTTCGTGTGAGAAATCAAGTTTTCAAAACTTAAAACAACCATTCACGATAAATTCTATTTAGCTAATTCAAATTTTGTGTAAGTTCTCACAAACTAACGATGTAAAATAGCATTATTATAATAAAAAAAAATATGCTTAAAATAAAATAAAAATGGAAAACTAAATTTTAAAATAAAGAATAAACTCCCTATTATTTGCGTGCATGTTAACAAGTTTCATAGAAGTAAAATAATACACATGAAATGTGGTTCACTCTATGAGCGTCGATCAGCACCGTCACAGCGGGGCGCCGCCGCCGTGTTCCGACCGCCGATCAACAAACCCAACGACGGCATGGAACTCTCGGCTGCGAGAGCTATCAAAGCAACGACAATACAGAGAAGCCCTAACCCTATATCGCCACATGCTCCGTTCCTCCTTCTTCCCCAACCCCTACACATTCCCCTTTCTCCTCAAATCTTGTGCCCTTCTCACACTTCCCCTCACCGGTTCCATGCTCCATGCCCACGTCATCCGAACCGGTTCTCAACCCGACCCGTTTACCCGCTCCTCCCTCATCTCCATGTACTGTAAATGCTCCCTCCTCCACTACGCGCGCAAAGTGTTCGACGAAATGCAAAATCTAACCATTTCTTACAACGCTATGATTTCTGGCTATTCATTCAACTCCAAGCTCGTTGACGCCGTCTATTTGTTCCGTCAAATGCGGAGGGACGATGAGGGGGTGGATGTTAACACCGTTACCGTGTTGGGTTTGGTTTCTGGGTGTTCTATTCCTACCCATTTCAACATTGGGGTTTGTCTTCACGGTTGTACTGTTAGGTTGGGGTTTGATGCTGATTTGGCTGTGGCGAATAGTTTGGTTACAATGTATGTCAAGTGTGGGGAAGTTGAAAAAGCGCGCCAAATGTTTGATGAAATGCCTGTCAAGGATTTGATTACGTGGAATGCTATGATTTCTGGGTATGCGCAAAATGGGCATGCTAGGCTTGTTTTGGAGCTTTATGGTGAGATGAAGTTGAGTGGGGTGAGTCCGGACCCTGTTAGTTTTCTTGGGGTTTTATCATCTTGTGCGAACCTTGGAGCGCAAGGCATTGGTCGGCAGGTGGAACGACAGATAGAACGATGTGGGTTTGGTTCTAATCCGTTTTTGACAAATGCTCTTATCAATATGTATGCTAGGTGTGGTAATTTGGTTCGGGCGCGGGAGATTTTTGAACGTGTGGTTGACAAGAGTGTTATTTCGTGGACTGCAATCATTGGCGGGTATGGAATTCATGGACATGGGGGAGTTGCGGTGGATCTTTTCGGTGAGATGGTTAAGTCGGGTGTTAGGCCGGATGAAACGGTTTTTGTGACTGTTCTTTCTGCATGCAGCCATGCAGGGTTGACTGATAAGGGGTTGAAATACTTTGAGGACATGGAGATGAAGTATGGCTTGCAGCCTGGTCCAGAGCATTACTCTTGTGTGGTTGATCTTTTAGGTCGGGCAGGTAGATTGGACGAAGCTATGAATCTCATAAAGTCGATGAAGGTGAAACCTGATGGTGCTGTTTGGGGTGCCCTTTTGGGTGCTTGCAAGATTCATAAAAATGTAGAGTTAGCAGAGTTGGCCTTTCAGCATGTAGTTGAGCTTGAACCTACAAATATAGGTTACTATGTTTTGTTATCAAACATATACACTGATGCTAAGCACTTAGAGGGGGTTTTGAAAGTTAGAGTCATGATGAGGGAACGAAAGCTTAGGAAGGATCCAGGGTGCAGCTATGTAGAATACAAAGAAAAAGTGCACCTTTTTTACTCGGGGGATTTAAGCCATCCCCAATCTAAGGAGATATATAGAATGTTAGATAAATTGGAAAATCTTGTTAAGGAAATTCATCAACCAGATGAGAAATTTCAAAGGAGGAGTGAAGAACTCTTAGTTGGTACAGGGGTGCACAGTGAAAAATTGGCAATTGCATTTGGCCTCTTGAACACTAGGAGTGGAACAGAGATTACTGTCATGAAAAACTTGAGAGTGTGTGTGGATTGTCATTTATTTATTAAGTTAGTAAGCAAGATTGTTAATCGCCAATTTATAGTTAGAGATGCCACTCGCTTTCACCATTTCAGAGATGGAATCTGCTCTTGCAAGGACTACTGGTAAAACCAAAGCAGAACTATTTCAGAAACTTTGGCTTTTGATAGAGCACAATGATGTCCGACCTCAACTAGTTTGTTGGTGGTGGTGGTGATGGTGAGTGAGGTCTGAGAATGCATCCATGTTGGGAAATTATATAAAATATGAATGAAAAAAAATCTTTAAATGCTCTCAAGTGTGGAAAGGAAGACTGCCACTACAGCACAGGACGTGCAACTTTTACTGAAAAGTGTATGTCATGCTTCATTTGCTGACATATACAAGAAGTTAAAGGAAAAAAGTAAGCTATCTGGCGTAGCACAATCAATGCTGTGTCTGCACAAAGTTGGTCATGATACTCCAGAAATTCAAGGTTAATTATTTTGTGCAAAGGGGGTTTCCCTTCCAGTTTTGTCCACCCTAACAAATATTTAATCATTCCAATTGATATTGACAATAGAAAATTCACAATCAATGCTGTTTTCAGTATGTTTATTGATGAGACTGTAGAGCTCCGACTAACAGCACTATTGTTCCAATTGTAATGGGCTTTTATTAGCTTGCCCTTAATAGTTCTGCATGCCTTGGTTTTTTGTCCTTCCACAATGACTTGAGAATTGAGGTATTTAAGACCCGAAAGTATTATCAGCTTCTTATGGTGTTGGAGATCAAGAAATTCCCATTGAGAAATGAGGGACAAATTATCAATTCAGTGGAAAAATTTGCTGTGGTATATATCCCACTTATGATAAGTTCAAGTGCGTTGGGAAACTTGAAAAACATTTATTCAACAAACTCGTTACATGAAGATTTATGTTATAAACTTGATCATATGGTTTTTTTAAAATAAGTTATATTGAAAAAGCTTATCAGAATGAGTTAAAATTAACTTAAAAGAATTATAAACTATTTTCATAAGCAATTCATAAATCTTTCAAATGACCTAGTATATTAGAAAAATCATGTTTGTCATGATGAAGTGTCATTTCTACCCTGCCTGAACTTTTTACGTCGAGAAAAGAAAATAATGCATTAATTTGATGTAACCTAGTTAATGAAATCACCATTTCAATTTGAGGGCTTAGCTTACCAAACGAATATGTTATCTTTTCTCATGATATAAATCAGGAGAAGATTAAGAAAGAATGACATTCAATCAAAACAATTATGAGATAACAACTGGCAAATAAAAGAATCTGACAGACTTGATAGCACTTTATTATTATTATTATTATTATTATTTTGTAAAGGTTTATATCAATAATTATAATTTATATAAATTTATATATTGATAATGTCATTTGATATAATTTTTCAAACAGGATGACTAAATTTGTCAAATCAGTATAATTTTTTCCAAGGACAAATTTATGAGTTATTCCAGCATATGTAATGATCACTGTTTATTACAACGAAAAAGAAGCAAACGGTAAAAAAAGACCCTGCAATTTAGCAAACTTACTTTTCTAAAGAGACTACGAAATCCCTAGCTGGGGAACAACAAGGGAAGCTCTAAAATAAATTGGAATCACTTATTCTGAAAAGCTAAAAAAAGGTAGAATGTAAAACTATTGCTAAAACTTACATTTCCTACAGAATCAATAATCACATACTAACAGCCTAGTCAAGCCACCGATGACTACAACATTATTGTAGAATACACTCATCCTCAACAAATGGGATTGTTTTCCTTATGGTCAAATTTATTGGAATGCTCCCTTTGCCTGCAAACCACAAACATTAAGCTGTAGTGACACGGGCAGTTGTTGGGCTCACAAATGGCCACAGCTACAAAAATGGCTGCATCTAAGCGTGAAAGAAAATAGTTCAACATGCAGGCTCACACCTGTGCGTGCAACTATGAAGGGAATGTTGTGCATTTAGCATTAATGCAATATACACCTTGTAACAAAATAAAACTTGCTACCTGTATTGATCCTGTCTTTTCCTATACAAACAACAGCATAATGAGAACCAGCCAACTCCAGAAGCACAAACTGCCAATTGCTTGAGAGATTCTTCAGGTCATCATCAGACGGTTTTCAACAGTAATGTCAGGTATCTGTCAGCAAAATAAAATATTAAAGGAAGACAAAACCAATAAAACACATGGTAAAATTTAATATGCTAATACTGAAGAAGGATTCATGCAGTATATTGCAATGGTGGCTAGAGAATTGGCTAATATATTATTATGGCACATGCCCATACGACAGAACTACACTTCAGAAGAAGAATAAATTCTCATCAAATAACATGTCTAATTAAGAGCTCTCTATATTTCAAACAAACTTTGTAAGAGTGAGACGTACCTTAGAAATCATATGAGGTGGAATGTGGATGCCTCCTTCCATATGGTCTCTTAATTGAACAGTAAAAATCTTAAAAGGTGAAGCTGAGAAGCCCTTCCCTTGTGCTTTTACGTATGCCTCATTTATCTCTGTAACTGAAAGCTGCAAAACCGCAAAACATGGATTGAATTTCAACTTACAACAAGTTATGCTGATTAACTATATTATGCTAATGCAACTTGTAAAACAGAAAGTTTTGAAGGAAACTTATGCACACTACTCCCTATCACTGGTCACTTGAATACTTCAAACAAAAAATAAGGAACTTGTTAAACAAATTAAATCTACACAGGGATTTTAGTCATCTCCAATGAGAGAAAAGGACAAAGCTTATTCTGCTTGGAGCTAAGAAAAAAGGAACAAATCATCTAGACACCTTTCAAAATTATTATATTTATATAAATTTGCATTTTACCCATTAAAAATGTTTTCCAAGTAATTCCAGTTCCATAGTAGTATGGAAATGTATAACCAATATCTTCAAAGATAAAGGAGAAACTTTAACTTGTTCAATACCCCAATACCTCATTACTTTCGAAAAGTAAATAATGCTTTCAGAAAATGAATTTTTGATATGAGACTAAATTAAAAGTATTACTCAAAGAATAATATATTTCACACCTAACGCTCAACTAAGAATTTAAGGTGCAACACAACAGTAGTAGAACATTAGATATACTGACTAACCTTCAGAGTCCATAATTTTATAAACTCCTGACGCTGAAGTTCATGGTCTGCAATGTGAGTCGGCATTTCTATTTCTTGGGGAGAAAGGTATCGACGTGCAAAGGTTAAAATATCATTTTTTAATGCCCTTTGCTTCTCTTCCACATCAATACCAATCTACAACAAGAAAGGCAAGTTAAATCAGTTCAAAGAATATGGTCTTCAGCAAGAAAAATGACAATAAGAAAGAAAAAGAAATAAAACTAGAAGAGAAATAATGACCCATTTTCAGCTAAATAAATAAATAACTTCTGTAAGAGAATAGTAATTACATACAGGTGAACCCACAGTTACTCCATAAGCTATCAAAGATGAAGTGTGTGAGATATTAAAATGCAGTGGTGGTGGGCTCCAATCATCAGTGTATAACAAGTCCACCCATTCCTATATCTTACAAAAAATGTTTAGTGTTTACCAAAAAAACCAGTTATGCAAGAAAAAAGTGAGATCATACAAAAATTGCATGTAATGCATGAACAATTTAAAAACACACCTCAGGCTTGCCATAATTGTTTGTTCTAAACTTTAAGGATTTTGGATTAATCTGACAGTTCATCTGATCTAGCAGTAAACAATATTGTTTAGATATATGATCTCTATCATGATATAGAAAGATCAAAACCAAGTGAAGCAGAATAGGAAGAATATACAGATTACAGAGTAACCATGACACAGATAGTTCTGTATAAAAAATGGTCCATGAATCATGTAGGCTTGTGTGAAAACTAATCAAATCATGTTAAAGTTGTTGTTGTACCGGATAGGACAGCATTCGGTCTCAATGATAAAAGAAGGAATTTAAATACCCACTCGGTCTAAATAAGACGAATACCCTCCCGGTCAGATTAAGAATGAATCAAAAGATAATTAAACCAATTACGATAAATAATCATATTATTATTTACTTAATTAAAGGGTCAAAGTCAAGGCTGATTTACAAAATTCATTAGCCGATAACATTGTCTATAAAAGAAAAGTAAAAGGTATAGATAAAATAAAATGTTGACTTTCGAATATTTAATAGCATTTATTGCCTAAATTGATACCTGACTTTATCATCGAAGTACCTTTTGCGGGTACACTCCTTCCACGTAAGACAGAGAAAAATCAGCAGTACTTGCAAGGACGTCACCTTATCCCACAACAGAAGAGTATCGAGAAGATCAGTGTATCCGTAACAGGAACATTTTGGCGCCCACCGTAGGGCACGATTTGCCTTAATTTTCAGAGCCATCATGGTACCTATTAGGAGCCAGCAGGAAGGATAGAATTAGCAAGGAGGAGCCTCTCGTCAACAGGAGGACGCTACACCTAACCCACCAATCCCTGAAGTTTTAGCCGAGGGGGAGGAGATGAAAGCCTTTTCTTAGTAGTAAGACAACTTAGGGCTTAAATGATAGAGATACAAAGGATGAGAGAGAAAGATTCTCTTGAGTTGTTGGCTTTGAGAAAGGAGAATGCCAACTTAAGGGAAGAAATCAAAACCTACATACCCTCTTAAACTACCCCCCTTGTTCAGGAGTAAGGAGAGTCCTCGACCCTGCAGGAAAGACCAAACACATATCAGTAGATTAGGCCCCCTGTTGAACGAGACTGTAATTCATGCCGAAGCTATTCTGGATGCTAAATTACCTAAGAACTGGAGAGCCTTAACATTGGAAAAGTATGATGAGACATCCAACCCTGAGGAACACTTAAATATCTTTACAACTCAAGTCAGCTTATATACAGAAAATGATACCTTATTATGTAGGATATTTCCCACCTCACTTCGTGGGTCAGCCCTCAACTAGTTTACCAAGCTACCCCCTTTGTTCATTGATTCATTTGCAATGCTTGCCAAACGGTTCAGTCTACAGTTCACCACAAGCCGTCCTTATCCTTTGATATATTTGGAGTTGGTCAATATTCGTTAGGAAAAGAAAGAGACGCTTAGAGCATTCATGGAGCGCTTCGGCAAGGTTGCCCTCTCAATCCACAATTTGGAGCCAGCAGTCGCAATGCACCACCTCACAACAGCCTTGAGACCGAGACCTTTTGTCAACAGTATATGTAAAAAATCACTTGTTGATCTAGACGAATTAAGAAGTCAGGCCGCGGAGTATATACAGATGGAAGACTTGGTCGAATACTGAAGCCAAGTTCGGATGTAGCAGGGGTCCAACTAAAGAGAGGGTGACAGAAGAGAATCTTTTAAAACTAGGCAAGAAAATAAGGACCGAAGAGGAAAGGCCGAGCGACCACCAAGAGGACCCAAGTATGCCACTTATACTACTTTAAACACTAACTGGTCTAGAGTACTCGAGCAGGCATTGGTAACTGAGATACTGACTATCCCAAGGCGTGTGAACACCCCCCTTAGGCAAACAAGTCAAATTCATGTCGATATCACAGAAATAGGGGACATACCACCGAAGAATGCAAAGTCCTTAAGGACCACATTGAAGACTTGGTTAAAACCAGACACTTACAAAGGTTTGTACAAACAAACCCTTCCAATCTTACTAATAGGAGTAGAGATCATCATCCCGAGCTATCAAGAAGATACAATGATAGAAGAATGGAATGACAATGTAGTAGGTCAAGAGAACCTCCTATCAAGTATCACAATGAATGTGAGAAGTATCTTCACCGAGTTATTAACACGATTGCAGGTGGGTTTGCTCACGGAGGATCTACCAATTCGGCTAGGAAAAGACATTTGAGACATGTCCGCTCGGTCAACCACATATCGTTGGGAAGTGGAATCTGAATCCCTCCCATTACATTTACTGACAAAGATTTCCAAGGAGTGTGTTAGAACCACCACTCAGAATATCCGGCCTCCTATTTTGAAAGTTTATACGAGAAGATCAAGGAACAAAGGAGGATAAAGATGCACCTTTCAAGGGAATTTAGTTACTGATGTTTTTCTTAGGATTTTATCTTCTCTTTTTGGTTTTATCTTATCAGTTTGTTTTTCTATTAAGAACTTATCTAGTTGTTATTTAGTTGGTTTTCTTGTTAGCCCTTTTGTTTAGGAATCGTTATCTCTTCCTTTTTTCTAGGAATTGTTATCTCTTAGTGTTCCTATTTATAGGATAGTTAGGGGGGCCTCGAGGGTATGGAGAATTTAATTCCAGTCTTAGGAACAGAGAATACTTTCTCTGCAAGAGCATAGCTCTGGGAAATCAATGTTTACTGATTGCTGGTCTCTGTACTGTTTCCTCATCATTCAATATAAGTCCTTTCTTTTCTTTTTTTAAAGGGATAGAGTCCTAACAGTGGTCCGACCTACCGGATATCAAAAGAAAAGAACCAGCGGCAAATTTTCACTTGAATGCCATGAAGGAAGCACACTTCAGTCAGCAACCAGATGGAAGGGGATCTTGAGACAAGGGTGACTACCATGAACGTTGAGCTTACTGCGATCAAAACTTCCAATGTGGAGTTAAGATCGTCTATGGCGGACGTGCAGAAAGCATTGGCGGACATACAAAGGTCTTTGAGCAATGTTTTAGGTAAGCATTCTGAGGACCGAAGAGAACATTCCAGTGAAGGGCGATCACCTTGGCGATCAGTCGGTGACCCAGAAGAGGATTTTAAGATGTTAGCGAAACGTGTCGAGCTTCCTAGTTTCACGGGGACAGATCCTGCGGGATGGCTAACAAGGGCTGAAACGTATTTCTCAGTCCAAGAAACCCCGTTAGACATGATGGTTAAGATGGCTCAGTTATGCATGGAAGGGCCATGCATCCATTGGTTCACTTGCCTAAAGGATGCCTTAGGAGCAGATCTCACCTGGGAAAGGTTCAAGGAGCAGCTGCTTGCAAGGTTCGGCGCTTGCCGTTTCAAACCCCCGTTAGAACAGCTAGTCGATTTGCAGCAGACGAATTCAGTGGAGGAATATGTAGCTCAGTTCGAGCTGTTGGCTGCTCAGGTCTCAGGAGTTCCAGATGACAGATTCTTTGCCTACTTCATGAGTGGGCTGCGTCCAGAAATCAAACAACGGGTCCGCATGTTTGGCCCCAAATCACGCGTGGAGTTGATAAAAATGGCAGCTTCCATTGAGGAGGGTCTGAAGGAAGAGGGGTTTTACGGAAATCACAATACGAAGGGTTGGGGACCTAGTTCACGATTTGGGCCCAGTTTTAAAATAGGCCCAAATGCTGCCCAGCCCAATCTCAGTCACAACTTAGTTCTTGGTCACCGAGACAACACTACTTAAGCCCAGAAATTTCGAGATTTCAAGGGAGATAAACCTGAAACACGGAATATCCTTGAAGGGGGAGAAAAACAGAAGACGGGGAGTTTCAAACGAGATCGAGGGATCAAGCACCTGCCGTTCCAAGAACTCCTGAACCGGAAGCAGAAGGGCCTTTGCTATAGGTGTGGGCAGAACTACCACCCTCTTCACCGCTGTCCGGAGCGCCAACTGCAGGTGATGGTTGAGGATTCTGATGGGGATGAGCCTGAAGAAGACAAAGGGGACGAGCTTAGTAAGGATCATGAAGCTGAGCAGGAGTGTAACTCGTTGGAATGGTGTTGTGGAGCCGCTACTGCAGATCGAGGGTCCCGAACTTTAAAAATCATGGGAGTGTTGTTAGGAGTTCCATTGCTGGTGTTGGTTGACAGTGGAGCTACACTCAACTTTATCTCTCGGAAGCTCGCTCGCGCTCTGGGGTTGCATGTTGTCGACACAACCAAAATCCCTATCAAGTTAGGAGATGGCTATAGGGTGTTTACGCAACGGAAGTGTGCAAATTTGCTCCTAAAATTTGGGAGTTACTCTTGCTCTATCGAAGCCCACGTTTTTTTATCTAGGGGGCGTAGATGCTATTTTGGGGATATCTTGGCTAAAAACCCTTGAGGATGTCATCACTAATTGGGAGCTACAATACATGCGCTTTCATCACCAAGGCTAGTGGGTGCAGCTGCAGGGAGTTTTAACTGAGAAGGCTGATAGCTTCTCCTTGCAAAATATGCTAAATCGCAAGGTTCAGCGCTTCGGAGGATCATGTGTGCGTTTGATGGTTGAGAGGCAGCCTGAAGGATCTTCCTCCGATGATGGACAGATTCAGGACGGACAATTAGGGGAGCTCCTTGTCGCCTTCGAGATGGTTTTCAAGGAACCAAAAGGAATGCCTCCTCAACGTCCTATTGACCATATCATCACCCTTCAACCGGGTGCAGGACCCACTTGTGTTCGTCCTTACCGATATGCTCATCATCAGAAAGCTGAGATTGAGAGACAAGTGGATGAGATGTTGGCTTCCGGGATCATTAGACATAGCTCTAGTGCTTTTTCTAGTCCTGTCATACTTGTCAAAAAGAAGGATGGGTCATGGAGGTTATGTGTGGATTACCGTGCTCTTAATAAGGTTACCATCCCAGATAAGTTCCCAATCCCTGTGATAGAGGAACTGTTGGATGAATTGCACGGAGCGCGTGTTTTCTCCAAAATCGATCTCAAATCCGGTTTTCATCAAATTAGAGTCTATGAAGGAGACGTGCACAAAACAACCTTTCGCACTCACCAAGGTCACTACGAGTTCTTGGTGATGCCTTTCGGGCTAATGAAT